ATTTGTGGGATTGCGGCTAGACTAAAGTAGACTAGGGCCGCTAATGCAGTCGCGTGGCTAAGGTACAACAGTATCGACTCAGCAAGGATTCGAATTTCGGAAAGACTGAGGAAAACATTTCTACCTACTCGTAATAATATATTTGCATCCTCACTTACTTGTACTGAGTGATCATAAGAGACCTCTCGATGCTATACAGTATACTAATCATTTATTACCTTACTGATAAAGTCATCCCTTTTTTCCACGCCGTCGAAGCCATACAAGTATAGCAAGCCTAACGCTCCTTGCAATTTCATTTCATAATGGGGGCTGAATTGCCAGGCTACTCTAGCAGGCAGAATAAATAAAGTAGAGTAAGAAGAATAATCAGAACAAATAATGACAGGGATGATGGAGTTGACAAAGCATTATTTATCAAATTTGACTGCGGCACCCAAATTCTTATTCAGACGCTAAAATCTCAGCCTGTTCTCATCAAAATGTTTCTTGCCGACTTATCTTTTTTTCAAACAAACACTCCTTCATCTTTCCTTCTTGTCGCTGTGCTTGCGCGTTTGCATCGCATCTTTTGCTGCCATGTTTACTCTCTTTTTGGTTCTGCGGGCGGCGGCATTGCTTGCATTTCTATTACCAGTGGACGCATATCCTAGAGTCTTTCCGCGACAGGCGAATTCCACAGGCACCCCCTGTTATCAAATTTTCAATTCTGACTATGTCTTGTTCCTTGCTAGCGATGCCTATAATTGTTTAATCACTGCGCCTTTCAACGCGACAGTTGCCAGCGGACTACTTTCATACTATAAGGATTTACTTCAATTCCAAAGCACACTCGCATACCTGAAAGATCCCCCTCCGAGCTATCAGCAGCCAGCTATCGATGTCTTGGCGAGCCTGGATGCGCTTGAGGGACAAGTGCAGGCGGGTACGTTCACGACCGAATATGACTTTGAGCTTGCCTTGCAGACCGTCATCTACGCCATCCACGACGCGCATGTCTCTCTCTCGGCCGGCATTCTCAGCATCTTTACGTTCGGTAGCCCACTTCGGATTGTATCCGTGTCCTCGAATGGTATAGAACTCCCTCAAATCTATATCCCGGATGACTTGATCGAAGCGGCGCAAAACAATGTAACCTGGATCCCCTCCGCAGTCTCCAGGATCAACGGCCGGGATCCCACAGAGTATCTGACACAGTTTGCGGCAACCAACGCCGGAGGCACCGTTGAGCCGAATGCGGACTGGAACCAGCTCATGTCGAATCCTGCCGGTGATGTCCTCAACCTTCTGAGTGAATTCGAGGGCTCAACAATATTCTATCCGGGAGCCAACATCTCATTCGTCTTCGAAAATGGCACGACCTACGACAACTTACCCTGGCTCGCTGGGTACAGTGACAATGTTGATGACGACACGCCTGCTTTGTCTTCTGGCCAGGATCTCTACGACTACTTTGTGCTGGGCATAATACCGACGGATATACCCGCTGCCGCTTCATCCAGCCTATCGGCCGCTGCTTCATCAACTTTCGCCGCTGCGACAACATCTTCGGCTGACGCTTCATCAGGCGATGGTCCCACTGTCACGCCTACCCCAACGCCAAGTGCATCGGCTACTCCTTCATCTTGGTCATACGCTCCATTTCCTTCAAACCCGGTCGTTGCCCAACCAAACCTCGGTCTGGACAACGGAGGCGTCGTGACAGGCTATTTCCTCAATGATGGTATAACGGCAGTCCTCAGCATCCCAAGTTTTGAAGTCACTGGTGAAGCGGTTCTGTCCTTCTCAACCACCATAGGTAACTTCATAAGCCAGACCAAAGCAGCAGGTCTCACGAGGGTAATCATCGACCTGCAGAGAAACCAAGGTGGTAGCGACCTTTTGGCAATTGACGCTTTCAAACAATTTTTTCCATCCATCGACCCTTTCACTGGAGCTCGGCTTCGCGCCAATGATTTTGGGGATGCCCTTGGCAACACCTTCACGACCTACTACAACACCCAGCCGATAAACGAGACATTCTACGAGGCTTTGTCAGCAGATATATGGGTCGCGTCTGTCTACCTCAATGCTGCCACTGGTGCCAATTTCTCATCATGGCCCGAGTTCTTTGGCCCTCATCCCGACCACGGGGATACTTTCACCACGATCCAACGTGACAATCTTTCCAGCATCATCTTCGACGAAAACGCCTCCGACGACTCGGACACCTCATCTGGAATCGTCATCTATGGCTATGGCAACCGTTCCGCGACGTCTCCTCAGCCATTTGCTGCCGACCAAATAATTCTGCTCTCTGACTCTTTTTGTTCCTCATCCTGCGCCACCTTTGTCGAACTCATGCACCATCAAGGCGGAGCACGCACCGTCGTTGCTGGGGGAAGACCCGAGCTTGGACCAATGCAATTCGCGAGCGGCAGCCGCGGTGCCCAAGCATACTACAATGTTGATCTCGACGCAGATATCGAAGTCGCGCAAATCCTCAACGCCAGCATCACCCCGCTTCCGCAAGACAGCAGCCTTATCGACTTCTACATCAATTATGCACAGATCAATATCAAGGACTCGATCCGAAAAGGGGAAGACTTCCCTCTGCATTTCGGCTACGAGGCCGCGGATTGTAGAATCTTCTACACCACGTGGACGGTGTATAACTTTGAAAACCTCTGGAACTACGTCATCGACGCATTCTTCAGGAATCCAGAACTCTGCGTCAACGGCGCCGCCAACGCAACCGACCCAGTCAGCGGCACCGACGAGACGGGCCCGAGCCCCAAACCCAGCGAAATCCCAACCCCCACCACCCCGGGCGGCGTCGCTGACCTCATACTCAAAGGCATCCAACACGCCAAACGCGACCTCACCAACGCTCTCCCCCTCCCGCCTCGCTCCGTCCCCAACACCGGCCCCGCCTCCCACGACCTCAGCACCTTCGTCGACGACGGCACCCTCCTCAACCTCGACACCTGCGCCGCCTGCACCCGCAACGGCTACGCCTGCACAAACGTCCCCGTCTGCTCCGCCGGCGCCCGCCAGACGAGGCGGCAGTGCGTCCGCACTTGCTCGAGCAACAGTCGGGGTATCTGCGGCTCCGGGGCCACGTGCTTCAGCAATAGCTTCTGCTTGGATCTCAAGAGCGCGGCGGCGCTGCGGCTGTGTCAGACCCCCACGCAGGATGTCAAGGCTCAGCAGACGAAGGCGGTGGGTGGCGGGGATGTCGCGTTGCAGTATTCGAGGAGGGCGTTTGGGTCGAGGCGGCTGTAGGGGGTGAGAAGATTAATAACCGTGTAATCATATCTAATCACGTTTGTATAAAAGCGGCTGGGTGTTCCCCTGGGTCTTATACAGTATAGCGCGTCCCTCACAGTGGCAAATCTGGGCATATCTGTCAGCAGCGAGATGTTTGTAAGATCTTACATACAACCATTCTACATACACCGGGAAGTGGCTCTTCGTCCATCTTTCGATGTCAAAATCTCTTTCAGAGCCATCGTTAGCATTCTCCCTGTCCCGCCCGCCCGCTTTCGTCCCTATGTCGCATCTCATTGGTGGTGTATACTTCTCCATGTATGATATGTCTCACCTATGGATGGTATGGTTTACCATGGGGAGTATACTCCCTCAAGCAGGCGTATCGCCCATCCCGCGGGCAAATCCCCACCAATCGCATACATACCTTCCCGTGGACATCGTCGTCGCCTATGAACAAAACATCTGGATCATGGGGATAGAAGATTGATTGCTGATACTGCTACTTTTTCGACTTTTCTTTACCACCTTTGCTATCTTTGTCGCTATCCTCGATAATCAGTTATTGCCCTCGCTGGTGGCCCATTTTTCTCCAATGTTATTTCGCTGTCGCTTAGTATCCTTCTCTACTTGCTCACGTACTCTATAACCCGGCTGGATGTTGATATTCATTGATGAGATGTTTGGATGGTCAGAGTCCCCCGTTGAAAGATATCACCTTATTTAAAATAGAGGCCGAGATATGACTCGGTTGTTGGAACGATTCGGCTAGGATGTGTAGGCTAAAGTTGGTAATGATATAGTCTGATAGTGGTTCTTCGATCACCGGAATAACTCGGCCACAATAAAGCCCGCTGACCGATAACTCGGGCTCAAACAGAGGCTTAAGAGGCTGTCTAGGTCAGAGACGCAGAGGGGAATAATCAAGTAGATATAGCCTCAGATAGTGCTGAACTGATGTGGCGACAACATGGGATCTATGGGCGGTTTTGTGTCCCCATGAACAACATATTTATCCATAGGCGACGGCGAGGTCCATGGGAAGGTCCATGCGATTGGTGGGTATTTGCGCATGAGATGTGCGATACGCCCCCATGAGGAAGTATACTCCCCATAGATAACCATATTACCCATAGGAGACAGGCGTCCAAGGTGAGATGCAACATGTATGTAGCTATCACTACTCTACTCGAGGTCTATGCCGTACAGGCAGGGGATGCTGTTTCTTGGCAGTGGAGTACGGTATACCTATGTCTGTTCAGGCGCTGCTGACCCCGGGCGTCGAGGCGGCGCAAGTCAATGGGTTACGTAGATCCTATGTGTGCCCTTGTGATTTAGTGTTATTCGCTTCAGGGGGAGAGAAATCATCGAGGTTTCATACAAGCGCTAGCGAAGAGGTTCGGGGATTTTTTCGTCACTGTTGCATGCTCAAGGGGTTTTGGAACGACACATTGGAGGAGTCGCTCTGGCTTTATAGGAGCCTTTGGCTCAAGAAACTCTTTGTCATTACAACGTGCTCAAAGGGTTGTGGAACGGGACGTCTGAGGAGTTTGTCTGGCTCCATAAGAGCTTTTGGACGCTGTTGTAAATTGTACACTTGTTGCATGCTCCACATTTACATCGTTTTTGTTGAACTCGTTGCTCCTCCTCCACCGCTGTTGTTGTGCAAATACTGCGTGAGAGACTAGGCTGGAGTGGCATAGCCAGCAAGGGTTTTAGGGGCCAGCCGGAGCTGCTGTCATCGTTCACCATCTTCCGTAGAACTTTACCATACCATTCCCGCATATGGATTGATACCCTCACTGAACAGGAAGTCTTGAACCATCACATGGAAACCTGGCATCGCATCAAAACCTGGCATCGCCCCCAACAGCTCGGCTCTCTGCTCAATTCTACAGAGCTGCCTTTCGCTTATGTGAAAGCTATCTAAGCGGTGCAAAGTATCCTTCATGGTACCCATTAGGCGCTCCCAGGCTCGGGGATGTGCGTATTGGAGCCCCCGAAAGAACCCTTGCTCCTCCATGTAGAAGCCTTGTAGAGATAGGTCGCGTAGGTCTGGCGAGCTTCGGAGGAAGGCACAGAAATCGTCTTCCCAGAACGTGAGATTCCGAAGGCGAAGCGTGGAGAGCCGGGGTAGCTGGCAGCCGCCTAGTAGCATCCCGAAGCTGGTGCCGAACTCCTCGGACGTTCCGTATAACTGAGAGGGCCGTCCGGCACGTACGAAGCCAAGGGTGAGAGACTGTAGGTTGGAGGCCGCGGACAACATCTTGGTGGGATGTTGTAACGCCTGAGACATCTTCAAGAGCGAAACCCTTTTTGGTTTCACGAAATTCACAGCATCGTCCATGCGCAGCTCCAACTTCGTCAAGTGTGCCAGTACCCTGGTGATTGAGAGGAACATGTGAGGGCCACAGGCCTGGACTGCTACAAAGGGTAGACCGCAATCGGCGTCCCTTGGCTCAATGGAGATCGTGTGAACTGAGACATTCGAAGAATTGTGCAATGCTGTCATGATCTCCGCCCATGGGTTCTGCGGCATGTGCTGCGACCCTGCCTCACAGAGCCCGCGATACGGTGGCTCCTGAGCAAAGTGGTCGCAGCCGACAGAATGGACTGCCTGCGTCTGTGCTAGAGCTTGTGCATCTTCGCTCTTAAGACTTGATCGAAGCCACTTCCAGAAATCTCTGTAGCTCCTAGGAGAATGAGTTGGAGTTTGTTCGCGCAATAACTGCAGATCAGCCAAGGCATGGCGGACTGTACAAGACGTAAATATACGAGTTGCCGGTGGAGGAAGACGTTGTAGTATTTCGCCCATCAAAGCCTCTTGAAGCCATGAGAGATCTTGTCGACGTCTCCTGTCTGTGATGACGACCCGGCAAAGGCTGGGCAACGTATTCAAAAGATGGCAAAGCTGCACATGCACGGCGCCGCTCTCGTACAGTCTCTGCCGCTCCAATCCAAGCTTGCAGCGTAGTTCCCAGCAACGTTTAGCCTGTTTGAGATGAACGGTGGGATTTTGACATTTTGAGGTTCTTGGTAGGATGTCTATTTGGGAAGAGAACTCCGGCCATGTCATATCGAAATAACATTCCGTCGAAAAAGTGAGCGTTTTGATAGAATTGGGGAATCTCGTAGCGACCAAGTCGGTGATTTCGCGATCTGAATGGCGGGCTGAGACGAAGATGCTGTCAAAGAGTAATGGTGTCGCCGTGTCGTAAAATATTTTGCAGGCTAGTCGTATCGCCTTCAACGAGCTCTTCGGCAGAAGGCTGAATATCTGCGACAACGTCTCAGATGGTAGAGACATGGTGAACGAGCTGCTCGTATGAGCCTGGGTGATGCGTATGATTAAATTGGTACACTTAGTGAAAGACAGACAGCGTCGGAAGTTTGGGGTTGAGGAAGATGGGGGGGGGAAAAAGATGGAGAGAGCAGAAAGTGAAGAAATTTTGTTGATGAAGGATGACTCTCCGTCTTCAAGGGCCCGCGAGCCCCAGAAAATAAGAAACACCGCAACACCATTGTACCAGCGCCAATAGGAAACGAATTTATTACGAATTAAATACCTCTAACCTGCTCCCCTTTTCCCCCCACCTCCAGTCTGGGAATTGGCTGCCTTCCACTTGTGAAACAGTGCCACAAGTGTCAACGAATGATCAGTTTACCCACATCGCACTAGCTTCAACGAGAGTAGCGTTATATGCCACCGAGGCACCGAGACCTCTTCCGTGCCCAGAAGTTTATGCATCGGCATGCGCTGGCAAAATAGCAATGAATAATCTTGTAGCGCGTCCGAAAGATGAGACTCACGTTCATGTATGCGATGCTCCTACGCGGTGCCTTAGTGATGATTGTGCTTTCGACGGCTTCCTCCAACCGCCTCCGGAGAACCCAACCGCGTTTTCGATATTAACAAACCTACGATGCGCGACATCGAGCAATGACTTATTAGAAGTGGCAAGAGCATACTTTCATGGTTTGGAGAGACTTAGAGGAACCGAGAGCGTGTGCAGGTTCATCGAAATGAGCACTGACCTTCATCTGTAACCACCGCCTGTTCGAGGTGGGAGGGATGTTTTATGGTACTGTACCGTCCTGCTTTCACTCTGGGTAACGGATTAAGCTCATCGATAGAAACTTGCAATTTGTACAGGGTTTCATATACCGATGTTCTTTATGACTACCATAGGCTACATAGCAGGTACTCTAGGCCGCCTTTTCCTACCGAAAAAATTGCGACCTTGTTGGAGACATCATTACTAAAGTACATCTACATCTATCAAAAAAAAATCCAATCGAACAAAATCCCTTGCGTTTTTTCTCAAAACCATGGTCTGCTTCGGCACACGCCTTCTAGTTTCCAGCAGCTCGGAAATTTCGATCCACGGTCAGCCGCTCAGCATAACCTCGATCTCGCCACTGACGGAGACCCAAGCGCCCAGCCTTGGGCTCCGTAATTGGTTGTCTGTTACTGCCTGAACAATGGACGAAAATCGGCTCCCGGACTTCACGGAAACTCCTTTTTTATGGCATTACGAAGATCTTTCTTCTGATTGTTTGTGTGTTCTGCATCTTCAAACCTACAACATTTCTCACAATTTAATACACGTCGAAATCTTTGCAGCTAGAATTGCATGAGCTAACCTGGGGAAAGTATCCTTTAATGCTTCGATTCACAGAGTCATGTACGAACCTCATCGCCCATTAGAACAACGTTCAAAGGGACAAGAGCGACAGAAGCAGAAGGGAAAATGGTGGTCTCATCCAAATGAGCGGGAAGAACAGGAACGAAAGCAGGCACGGCAGCCGGTCGAACATACAGATGATGTATACGATGTCATCGACGAGGAGACGGAGCGTTCAAACACCGACTACCCAAAGGCCAAAGCTAAGCCAAAAATGCCTGGCGCCGCCGCAGAGGAAAAGCCGAGTCGTCATTGGCCAAGAAAATCAGTCCCCAATATGAAATCGACTGGAGAATACTCTAAGCCAAGCACAGTGGAGGGTAAGGACATGCGCGCGGAAGGCAAACAATTCCTACGAAAGGTCAAGTCTGCTGTAAATCTTTTCGGAGAAGAAACGGCTGCGAGCTCGGCTGAGACTGCCCCTGAAGTCCCTCGCATTCCTACGTCAAGGCCTAATAGTATTCCAGAAGAGGAGAACTCGCTCCGACAACATCCAACTAGAAATGCAGCAGGAGAGATCTCGCTCTGTGCGGCCCCTACAAGTTCAACCGCTGCAAGGGATATCGCTCTGTTGGCTTCCAAGGCGAAGAAATCGTCACATGTCAGTCGGATGAGAGAAGTATGCTTTGTAGCAATTATTGCTCCTGTTACTGCGATGTGCTGACACCCACAAGAAATAGCAAAAGCCCCAACTCGCGACAATAAGTACCTCTCTGGCGACACAGCCCATACCCGGCGAAAGGGAAAACAGCCCGCAGCTCTCAAACAAATCCCCAAACCGAGCGACCATGAGTACTTCCCCCCAGCTCACGAGGGAAAAACTCCGAAATACTTTCGCGCCAAAATCACCGTAGCCCATCGGCAGGTTAGCCCGCCCCTCCAACCACTCAGTTTCGAACAAGGCGAGATCTTGCAGCTTCCGTGCAAAATGCTCACAGACAGCCCGCTGGACGAGCCAAAGTATGTGCTTCGACATCGTAATGATCCCAGCGTTTATGGTTGGGTCTTTGCCAGGGACGTTGAGCCTGTAGATGATGCAGCATGGCCGCGGCGAGTGAATGAAGGTACGGGCGGGAGACACGACGTATAAAGCGATGGTGGGGTTGTCGCGATTGCCGAGCAGTGGACGATCAAGGAATAGACAGAGCATGTAAAGTGGAACAATGGGAACACAAAGGAATCTTGCTTGTTCATAGTTGGCTTCGTATCCTATTGGTTGACAAAATTCGACCCTTTTATGGTTACCGCGTAGTTTTGTATTGAGACTTTGAAGCGCTATTTCTTCGAGTGTGTATCATCATGGCAGGCGAAGGAAGAATAGCTACATGGAAGTAACGATTGACAGCGATCTAGCTCCTTGCGTTCTCGGCACGATTCGCGTTCGGTAAGAAATTCGTGAGAGAGATACTTGCTCTTGCTATTGCGTGTGGGAGACCTGCAAAATGCGGACGAATGACGATGCTGTGCACTTGAAATTCAGATATCGGGTGCCTGGGACGGCTCCGACATGGTCATGCATCATTCGATATCTCTTCCTGCTAAATTAGGGTATTCGATTTAGGCCAATCACCCAGTTGCCTTTTCTCGTAAGTTGCCTGAGTCAGGCAACGGCTGCGTTCATTTACCGTCGGACGAGCGACGATATTCCCGAGACCCGAGAACATATCACTACTCCACGTAGAGTTATCGTCGTCTTCTTCTCCCAACACCTTTTGGCACATGTGTGAAGACCCTGACACCAAATCCTTTTTCGCACTGTTTTTCGGCACTTCAGATACTCAACTTGTTGGAAACATGCCAAACCGTCATACTAAGCATGAGGAGGACCCCTATGGAAGCGATTTGGAAATACTTGACGCTAGGCCGGCCTCTAATAACGACGATGGCGACGATGAATCTCGCCAAAGGCAGACAGTGCGTCAACCCGATCTGGGATATGCTTCGCCGCGTGAGACGGCAGACCGACTGAGTGACACGGAGGATTCCGAATCGCTGCAGGTGGCGATGGAAATGTCAATGGGTTTGGACGAGGACTCCAAAGACCCTCGGAGGAAGATTCCGAAAACGAGCACCCTAGGGGAGGCCGAGGCAAGCGTGCTCTGGCAGAACGAAGAAGTCTTCGGGATGGCGCGGAAGATGGTCCGAGCGGGGCTTTCGGTGGAGGACGTGGTGGAGATGTGGGAGGCGGCTATCGATCCGGTTGACTTGGTGAGGGAGATGAAGGAGAAGGAGGCGCTGAAGGCTGAGGCGGATCGTGGTGGAGCTCAAGGTCAGTTCTCATGGGGTGGGTTTTGTGTGACGGGTGGTTGAGCTGAGAATTTAATCAGCGCATCGCGGATCCGACCTATCTCAGCCGCACCCCAGTCCCAGATCGCCCGAGTGGGAGTCTTACGATGAGGATGAGTGGGATACAGCGATCGAAGGACTCGATTTCGACGAAGAGCACTGGACGGACAAGTCGGGGCCTTCGTACAAGAAGCCGGCAGTGCCGATTTCGGAAGCGAGTTTCGTCCGCGCGTTGAAGGATTCGGATGCAGGTAGTAAGCCGTACTTCAAAAGGGGTGATGTACTGCGGATCATCGGCCATAGGAGAAGACGGGATCAATATTTCGAGCTGCTTCCTCTCAAACCGCCCGGTGAAGCGGGACGCGCGCTGAGGAGCGATTTTGAAGCGGCCGATCAAGGGGATGTGGATGTGGTGGGAAAAGAGGCGATGACGGAGAAGGAGAAAGACTGTTTTAGGTGTGCGGTGGAGTGGGAGGATTGAGGTTGGGATTTGTGGAGATGGTGAGCTATGGTTTTTCGATTGCACATTTTCGTATCGGTACATGGAATGTTGCCATCTAGACTGTCTATGTTGGTAGCAGTATTTGGCTGTGATGGAGGCTCTGTACTTGCAGTCTTACTCTAGAATCAACGATCCTCGTTCGCGTTCAGCGGCTCTCCCACCATGAATTTTTTAGTAGGAAGGCGAGGGTGGAGAAGGATGACAGGAATTTCAGATTTGCATCTTGCTTCTTCAACTTATATACAACTTCAATAAACCCGTTGCTAATGAGGGCTGTCTTCATCTTGATTGAAATGCTCTCTCGCCCACGGACTTCTCAGCCTGATGGTCTCGCCTCTGTAGAAAAAGATGAAGGGGATCGGCACCAGCAGAATTGCGATGAATCCCAGCAACGAAGACGCCCACTCGTAGTCGAGTTTGTTGTACATTTGCGTCGCGAACAACGGAAATCCAGCGCCCACAATGTTGCGTACCAAGATCACACCTGCGAGCGCAGATGCGGAATAAGTCTGGTAGCTGTCGACGACATAGTTCAAGATACTCAAGATGATAATGTAGATCCCCGCACCGAACACCGCAGATGCAATGATTGGTACGATCCAGTGCACGCTGGGGTAGCTTGTCCAGCCAAACCAGAATAGACTGACTGGAATGAACAGAGCGCCAAGACGGGCCATCCACATCCGTGCTTCGGGGACACCTTTGCCGTCATTCTCGGCGACTCGCCGCAAGTAGTAGCGTTCTTGAAGAGGGTAGAACAGAAACGCGATGATCGGTCCGATGCAAAGGCCAAGGAATGCAAGACCTTGTTCCCCACCATTGAACCCATGGCCTTTTCCAGGCCCGAAGACGAGAGGGAATGCTTCGTTGAATAGGTAGACGAGGCCGTACAGGAATCCATTGTAAATTGCAGCGAAGAATGTGATGGGTTCGGTGAAGAGGAAGTGGAATGGTCGGGTAAGTGTGATGGCGAAGAGCTGGTGCAGCCCTTTTCGCTCATCGGCGTTGGCATCGGTGATAGAATCTGCGGCTTTCAGACCCTCTTTTCTCATGGCTTTGCGTACACGTTTGGTCTTCTTTTGTAGAATGATAGTGTGCCGAGTTTCGGGGATTGTAAAGACGAGCAGGACCCAAAAGGCGCCGGTGATGGCCATAAGTACCCAGAATATCCAGCGCCAGCCGGAGTTGAGGCCGATGTACCCGCTCATCACAAGCGCCAAAGGAGGTCCGAGTGTCGAGCTGAGACCGTACACCGCCATTGGACCACCAGAGTCGTTTCGCCTCCACAAGTCGCTTACGGTACCTCCGGTATTGGTCAATGGTGCTCCTCCTGCAAAGCCGCCGATGAACCTGCATACGAGGATGGTGCCGATGTTGGGAGCTAGGGCCACTGGGAGTTGGAATATGAAGAGAATAAACCAGGAGACCATGTAGACGGGCTGACGGCCGAAATATTCAGACAACGGTGCAAGGAGAACCGGTCCAACGGCAAAGCCTAGAACGTAGAGCGACAGAGCGAGCGTGGTGATTTCGGCAGAAACAAGGAACTCCTTTTGTATTTCCATAGCTCCTGATGAGATACTACCGGCGCACAGACATCTTCCCGAAAACAATCAGCCGAAAACTAGCATTGAGAAGAGAGAATTCGTTGCATACGTGACGACATTGAGCATACTGGCGAAGCAGGTGATGTACCACTTCCTCCGTTTCGCCCAATTGCGAGGATTATCTCGATCATTCGGCGCAAAGGTCAGATAAATTGGGAGCATACCCTCAGGATCTGCCCTGGATCGTGCCAAAGCCTCTTCTTCTGACAGAGCGAGCTTCGAGTCCGGTTTGCTAAGATGTTCCACATCGCCTTTGTCGCTTGCATCTGGAGATGTCTGCAGCGTGTCTCGACCGTAACTCAGGCCCAGCTGCTTCTCCCCGTCGCTAACCATGGCGCTTTGGGTCAAAAGCACTCCTATGTCAGATTGAAGAATTAATATGAAGGAACAGAAAGAAAAGATGCAGACGTGATAGAGACGGAGAAGATGCGAGACTATGTCACTTGTCATGCAGGCATCTGGCGCGCTATGATGTCAACATGTCGGGATCTCGGGCGGATCGGAGTTGAGTAGGCGTCGCGTCCGTATGATGCGTCATCCCATCAAGGATCGGATTGAAAATCACGTAGTACAGTAGAGCCTTGGTTGACTCTTTTCGAAAAGAAAACTGTAAGAACCATCATCTATCATCTGATTTGTGCCATGAACTGCTGTTTCCTAACGAGCAGGAACTTTGAACCCACAATTGTCTTGCTGAGCTCATAGAGAGTGTTATGACGCTGTCACATTGTTCCCTCCCATTTCACCCAGCTCATCCGGATACGCCAAAGTAACCACAATCCTCTCATGCCTCCCCCAGCTTGTCCACCCTCCAGAGTAAAGCTGAGGCAACCCACTCATGGTCTTTAGACATTCCTGATTCAACAACCAAGCTTTGCCTTTCACTCCTACCCATGATGCTTTGGAAACTGCCCTTCCGGCATGAAGTTCTACATTGACTTGACAAGTGTTATGAACCTTGGTTACTGGTAGCTGATATGGATCTTCGGGCGGTCCGTTGTGGAAAGGGCCTTCTTCCCAACGGGGCCGAGTGGGTAGATGGTTGATTGCGCGAAGGCAGTCGTTGTAGTTGGGCACCGAGGAGATGAGGCTGTATCGACGCGTGCAGTGGTTTTCAAACATGGTTAAGGACGACTTTGCAGATGCCTCCGGGACGAGTAGTCCGATGGAACAGGGGACGAGGAAGAAGAGAGGGAGGAAAATGAATTGAAGGAAAGTGGACATTCCTTGCCAGCCCTCGAACGATCTCTGCGTTGGCTCAACGAGCCACTGGGATTTTGAAGAAAGAGAGCAGCAAGGTCCGTCAAAAGGAAAAATAATTAACGCTCCTGAAAAGCGGGAAGGACAATTGAGACCAACGCAGTCGCCTGCGCGAAAAAATGCTTGCGCCTGTATGCAATGCAATGCAGTGAATGCACCTTCGTGCGCCAATTGCTTCCTTCTCCGACCAAGCGGCTTATCGCGGGATGAAGGTGACTCAGACCGCACAAATGTTTGCATCGAATAGCAATCACCGACTTCTCCCTAGACAATTAGTAAGTTATTGCTGTATCAGTGCTTACATCCTTCCTTCGGTTCTACTCTAGCATCGTAATCAAGTTCGACATGATCTCATAATCCAATAAATCATCAACTCACACTTTGAGTTCAACCTTGCCGCCCTTTTGCAATGCCCAATGGCTAGAAATTGAGTAGAGGATTTCAATTTCAATAACACCATTGGTAGTAGCGGATGAGATGGTGATATAAAGCTCGGAACTGAACGGGCCTCCGCTGTTGGCGGTCACAATTTGTATCACCTGAGTCACTTCTCGTCACCTCAAAATGGGTATGCAAAATCCCGCGAGATGATGTGTGAGGGAGGAAGACAATCAAGCATTGCTTGTTTCTGACGATAGAGACTATACAACCTCTCCTTGTGGCACCCAGAGCAAATTGCTTATGTTTCTTGCATTGATCCGCCACTCTAGCTCACTAGGCACACGATGACCCGTTAGCAAGTGGTTTATCCAGATTGTCGGGAGGTACAAACACAATGGAAGTTCTTCCAATGGTCTACACATCACACCCCGTGACAAGAACACCTACAATCTAGCTGATGGTAGCCTATGATTCAGTCGATACAGTATCAAGACCGACAAATTGGCTCTGAAGATGGCGGAGCCCACCAGCAGCGCGTGAGTGTTGACGAGGAGAGTGGGGCGCTTTGGGAAAGAGCTGACAGTGAGTCTTGTGCAGGACCAGTCTTACAAGACATCTATTGACGCTTTGACAGGGGAGGTTCTCCTTCCAGATGGCTATGAGTTGGCTTACTATACCCTGAGAAGAGCACACGATGGCCATTTGCAGTCCTTTTTGCCCGTCAATACCGGTGCCACATCAGTTAAAGCTGTACCGATCGATGCTCAGCTTCCAGACATACAGGCCCTAGAAGGTCTACAAGCCAATCAAGAAGGTCCAGAATCCGGTTCGCTGGTACCGATTTGCTCTTCAAATCACGTACCAAACGAGTAGCTCTACAACATTCCTGCGGACGAAAGGCATGCGAACCTTACCCACACAGAAAGCAGAGCTTATGGTTTACGCGACCGAAGTCCGCCAAAGATTATTTCTCGGACTGCGTATCGAAGAATGGAAGTTCGCAAGCGTTGCGCTACACGGACCACTGCAGCATGACGAAGAGGGAAGCCGGTATACATTGCCGCAGTCGAGCTAGCCGTGAGGTCACGAACGTGGATGTGGAGGGGGGTGATGCCCAAGTGGACACGCATGGTCAAGGGGCCAGGTTTGAGGAACTTAATGATGCCTTGTACGTCGAACCAGCATACAAGCAACTCTGTTCGGCTCTTCATGAGGAAAAGAACCCAAACTTCTACATGCGGTGTGCAGGAACCCACACTGGGTCAAGACGGACCACGTATCGAGACCAAATTCGTGTTCGGAGCGGAGTAGGCTACCCTGGCGACCTCAACGAAATCGTGCTATGAAGAGCTGCTGACGATACAGCATCGCGCACGAGAGCATCGAGACGTCATTTCCTGAAAATCAATCCCAGTCAACTGTCTTCGATGCTCATCATACCTCCGTTCGACCTACCTCCTTCCACAGCCCAGCATAAGTTGCTTAAACGCCAGAGTGGCAAGTAACCCGGGTAAATAGTCCGTGCTTGGACTCCTCTACGTCCACACCCAACTACAATACGTGGAATATCCGTTTGCTTGTTGGCTCAGCGGCAGAGCACGCAATCATAGTTATGAGGACCACTGCGCCCTTCGAGGGGCGACCCCACGAGACGCAGACCCCAAAGCGTATCAACGGCGACGGCCTGGACTGTTTTATAGATCGTCGCTCATACTTCTCGCCTAGATCTGCGGCACGCGGCTTACCGAAGTACGCCGAATACATAAACGAATGGGATATGATGGAGTAGGGATTGCCTGTCTAAGCTAGCGTACACACTCGCAAGGACTTTGGCACTGGAACAAAGGGAGTACACGGGAGGATGCAATGCAAGGTGGGCGTGGTTTTGGCCATCATTATTGTGGTTCAGCCACGAACTATCCTTGATATAGTCTCGTCTGACCACCACTTTCCAGTCGCACATTAAGTTGGAATCAGCCAATAGGAGGCAGATTTCTACACTACTAAGTTTTAAAGAGGTGTTGTGACTACGCCTTATGGTGGCAAATAGCCTTAGCGTGGCTTCACACCATAGATAGGTAATCACCTCCATCCTTCCTATATACTTCTTCATAGAATATGATAATAAACAACTATGCTTTATGATTTGAGACTATTAAGTATATACCATTTCCAATAGATTATGAGCTCGGAATTCCGCTATCGGATCTCTACACTATTAACTAAGAATACTTATCTATTTGATAATTTGATATTATGGAAGTTAAATAAACATTCCTATATTCTTATTATATATTTTCTATTCACTCTTTCATCCGTTCTTCTATAGATAGCTATATAAGATAACTACGTAAATTTTTTTTATTTTTTTTTTTTTTTTTATTTTTTTTTTTTTTTTTTTTATTTTTAAAAAAAAAAAAAAATTATTTTTTTTTTTTAAAAAAAAAAAAAATTTTTTTAAAGTACTACGGCCTATAAGACGTAGTAAAATAAGAATAAACTATTTCTAAACGACTTATTAAAGAAAGTTATTATTATGGATATACTAGCTAATAAAACCTATTATATAAGAACTACTATACCGAGGCCTATTAATTAGTAGATTTTAAGATACGAAATCGATATAAAGGCCTAAAAGAATCTTAATAACTAAGTATCGAAACTCATCTACTCGATATATAAGAATAAACTAATTAAAGTAATAGAAGATAAGGAGATAGTTATAATAAGGTGGATTAAACTTTAAAACGACTATATGAACTTCGGATTTATTCTTCGCTTTATCAAGTTATAGAAACTATAAAATACTACTATAGTTAATAATAATAACTCGATTAAGACTTATATTATTAACATATATATAAAATTTAAGAACCTTAAGCGTATAAAAGCTTCAATCGATAAATGAATTCTTATTACCCTATTATTAAACAATTTAGATAGAAAGTATAAGAACTTTATACACCGTCTTATTATATAACTTAATAATATATTAGACTTTGACAAAATTGTCACACTTCTTCACGAAGAAGACCGTCTCCTTAAGCGAGACAATAAGGAACAAGCTATGGCCGTTACTATAAAGAAATATTATAAGAAATAGAAGGATAAGAAGGCCTTTAGAGATAATAATAATTTAGAATATAAGGGTAATATTTTAGAATAAGGCCGAGGTGGAAATAATAATAGAAATAATAATTTTGATTTTAATCCCTCGTTAAATAACTCGAATAGTATCTACTATAAGAGATTAGATAACGCACTTAAGTATTTAAAGTATCTACTACTATTAAATGAGAGTAAGAAGAGGTACTAGTCATATAGCTACTGAACCCTTTATAGCGAAAAGATATCTAATTAACTTCGAAATAATAATAATAATAATAATAATAATTTAAATTCTAAGTTTAAAGCGAATATAGCTAATACTACAAATAGGCCGACGATTTCGTAGATTAAAACTACATTTACATTTTAGTAATAGCTTATATTATAATCGATGGTGGGGATACTATAGGAGATGAAGAGTACTAAGACTATCTAATTAATAGCTTAATATCTAAATTAAATAAAGGGGTAATAAATAAAGAGCTCGAAATTAAGTCTCTTAATTATCTCTTAATCGAAATAGCTAAATCGCGAGAACTATAGAAGAATACAGGGAATCAGTTAACACCTCAGCTTAATACCAACTTAAAATTAAGTAGTAAGATAAGCCGAGAGGCTAAAAATATCCTTAACTCTCTACTTAATTCTTTAGAGGATATCGAAATAATTAACGAATTATTATACGAATTCTTAACTTACTTTCTCTTCTATATAGTATATATAAATAATCAACCTACTACTATATACGAATAAATAATAAACTTAGACTATACTAATTATATATTCTTCGATAAGAATAAGTTCATCGACTATTAGTTATATTATATAGATATTATAATAACCAATAGAACTATTATTTAAACGTAGAGCCGCGGTATAATCGAAATAGAATAGCTATTATAGAATAGATCCAGTAACATCGTAAAAGTTAGTAAAGTTTTATATATTCCGAACTTTATATACGAACTATTTTCGATCAGTCAGATTATACGAAAAGGATTTAAAATTATCTTTCTTAGTAATAACTATTATATCCTTTAAGATAGTAAGCTTATTAATAGCGCTTCGAAGATAAATAATATCTATATTCTTAACATCTCACAATCTACAATTAAGGTTTCGATACTTATTTAGAAGAATATAAGGGCTTTAATAATAAGCTTAATATTTAATAAGAAAGTTATTAAGCTATAGTACTATCGAATAGAATATCTAAATAAGGCGAATCTTAAGAGATTAATTAATATAAGTAAGAGTATTACACTAACTTAAAAACCTCGAGTTAAATTAATATATAAGACCTATTTTAAGGCTAAATTTATATAAAAGATTTTAAGAAGAGTATAATACGAGGTACTCGAAAAACTCGATAAGATCTATATAAACTTAGAAGAATCTTTTAATATATCATCTATTAATAAGATTAAATACTATATACTTCTAATTAACTAAGCGACTCTCTAAATCTAGTACTTTACGTATAAGTATAAAAATAAGATCTTTAAGTTATTCTATAATTAGAAAACTTAGATAGAAAATAAATTCGATTATAAGGTTAAGATAGTCCGTCTAGATAATAATATTAAATTTATTAATAGTAAGTTTAAAGAATATTTTAAGAACTTCGAAATTATATAGAAGTCTATTATACTTTATACGCCTAAGCAAAATAAACTTAGTAAGATCTAAAATCGAATTATTATAAATGGAGTGAGGGCTATGCTTTTTAACTCGAAGTTATTCTACTATTTATAATTAGAATTACTTTATATTAAAGTATATTAAAAGAATAGAAGTTTTATTACCCGCCTTTAGAGTATAATACTATATAAGATATAGATAAGCGAATAACTATATCTCGGCTATATAAAGATTATCGACTATATCGCTTAGATATATATACCTAAGAAAAAGCGTAAGAAGCTCGATAAATATAGTAAGAAGTACTATCTAATTGGCTACGAAGGTATAAATATCTTTTAAGTATAAAATCTAGCTACTCGACAAGTAAAATAATCCTTCTATATCGATTTTAACGAATTATAAATAATAATTACTACGATCTCAGATATCGGCTATTAACTAGCCGAGGTTACTAATAACGATATAATAGATATATTTAATATAGAGGGTAACTCTATAGTATATTAACATACATCTAAGACCGCCGTTAATACTAATATAGACTCTATCAATATAAATAAAATTAGAAATATTCTTTTTAATAGAAATATCGAAGAAATCGAAGAAGTTAAAGATATAAGAGATAGTAATATAGGTCTAGAAGGATTTAACGACAACGACGTTAAAGAGATATCTTAAGGTAACTCTATTACTCACCTAGATTTATATCTTAATATAATATATAATTCTCAATTAAAACGAAATCCCATACCTTTTTAGAAAATTCTTCTAAATAATAAATAAAGTAATATTAAAATATAAGCCTAGAGGGCTATTATCTATATTAAGTATAATAAGACTCTTAAATCGAAACGCCTATACTATAAGTAAGTTATACTAAGTTATAAGAATCTAGACTATTATAACTTCGATTCCATTTTCGATCTTATTATTACTATTTAATAAATAACTAATATAAGATATTAATAAGCTATTACGGAGATTAACGATTTTAAGCTATTAATCTATAACTAGATAATAACTAGCCTCTATATTAAATAATAGAAGAAGATTATAGATAAATAAATAAATTCCTTTACTATAATAAATACTTAGAAGCTTATTTCGAGGATAAAGAATATACTAGTTCTTATTAGTAGGTGAGTCTATAAGATAAAGAAGAAACTTAATAGCTTTATCCTCTATAAAGCACGCTAGATAATTCGAGATTTTAAATAAATCTATAACGTTAATTACGACTAGACCTTCGCCTCAGTTATTAAGTCTATATTATTTAAGATACTATTTATAATTATAATATACTACGATTTAAACTATAAGCAAATAAATATTATTACCGCATTTCTTAATATATTACTAAAGAAAATTATCTATATAAAATAGTTTAAAGGGTATAAGAAGAAAAGTAATAAGGTATATCTATTATTTAGAGTACTATATAATCTAAAGCAGTTATTATAAGAATAATACTTCACCCTACGGGACTTTCTTATATCTAAAGAATTTAAACCTATCGAATTCGATTACTTACTCTTTATTAATAAGAAAATATAACTTATCGTTAGCGTGTATATAAACGATATTTAGATTTATAATCTAAAAGAATTAAAACTAATATTAGAACTTAAACGAGATCTATATAAACGGTTCGCTATAACCGATCTTAAGCCATACTTATATTATTTAGATATAGAAATTTAGAGAAATCGCAAAGAGAGAATCGTTCGAATTATCTAAACGACGTATCTAAAGAAGATACTATCACGATTTAATATAACTAACTATATATCTGTCTCTATATTAATGATAGTAAATACTTAACTATAAGAAAAACTAGTTGATAAGACTAAATTAGAAGCTATTTAGAAGTATTAATTAATGATAAGACGATAATATATCTTATAATTTAGACTTATCCGGATATCTGTTTTATTATTACGATACTTTTACGATATAATTATAATCTTAATTCGAAATACATTATAGTTATTAAATGAGTTATTCGTTATCTAAAGAGAATATTAACTTATAGTATTACGTATAGAACGGCTAATATATTAAAAGGCTATACGGATATTAATTAAGCCTCGAATTAAGAGACCCGTCGATCTCTTAAAGCTTATATATTCTTACTCTACGATAAGGCGATTAGCTAAACGTCTAAACGATAATAGTCTATTATACTATTATCTTGTAAGGCTAAGTATATAGCTTAAATCTAGATAATAAAGGAAGCTGTATGGTTGACCAGACTCCTAAGCGAATTGAATATTGGCTTCGGATTACCTGGCAGACTAGTACTAATTAAAGCAGATAACCAGGGGGCCATAGCGTTGACAAAGGACCCTCGCTTTCACTCTCGCACGAAGCACATTGATATTCAATGGCATTTCATGCGGGACCAAGTGAAAACGGGGGCGGTCACATTCGAATGGGTTCCCACAAATGATATGGCGGCGGACGGGCTTACTAAAGCCCTTATCAATAACAAATTCGCTATATTTATATATCAAATTGGACTTAAGAAGAGTTGATAAGGAACAGCCCAAATTCGGACTATGTGGGAGTGTTGGAACTAATAGTATTTCCAGCCTATTATTTAGACTGTATGGGAGTGTTAGAATCAGTCAATAGGAGGCTAGCATATCCACACACTACTAAGTTCTAAAGAGGTATTATAATTACGCCTTATAATGGCAAATAGCCTTAGCGTGGCTTCACACCATAGATAGATAATTACCTCTATCCTTCCTATATACTTCTTTATAGAATATGACAATGAATAACTATGCTTCATGATTTGAGATCATTGAGTGTATACCATTTCCAATACATTAAGTTTCAGGCGGAGATGGTAGCCGAATGAGAGGGAGACAGGAAGCGCCACGACGTCTTTGCACTACTCTTGAAATCCTTTGCCTTCTAGAACCCCATTCTTCTCGACCTTCAGTGGTTGAAAACATAGAATTGCTATGTGGAACAATGTGATTCAAGCAAAGATTCCACAGCTTTTAGACCAAAGAAAACGACACCATGCACGAATCGCAACAATAGCCTTTCATGAGATTCGCTTCACGTTGTCTTGGCCGCCGGGACCAACAAAGGAGGTACCGTGGCCGAAGTGCTAACAATGGCCTTTCGAAACTCCTCGTCCATTGCATACAAGTAGCTCCGTGCGCCAATATTAAAACTCCAGGTCTCCTCGGCATTCTCAACCACCAAGTCGGCTCGCAAGCACAATAACATCCTTCACTCGAGCCTTCGGTAAAAACCCTACTTCACGCAATCGCGAACAGCACGATGAATTCTAACGGTCCAGCTCAGGCGTTTGAGACGCCTTTCAACATCTCCGACTACGTTGACTTCGACTTTGACGTCGAGGCCATCCGACAGAGCGTCCATGTTTCTTCAGAGGCTTCAGTGGTCGAGCCTCTTCAGAGACTGAGTATTTGCGACCCTTACGCTAGTATTATTGACGCGGTTGATGCAGACTTCGCTGGCATTTTTCAGCTCCCCGACGGCAGCAATGCATTGGACGCTGGCTTCAATGCCACTCAAGCAGCTTCAGAAGACGACGGCGTACTTAACGCTCTCCAGGCTCCAACCACAGGTCCCATTTCGACCGTTGGCTTTCCTACTCAGTCAGGCCCATGGAAGTCCAGAACTATTGATGCATTCGACAATTTCATCGAAACCAATGCTGCGTTTGGTGATCCTACTGCCCTGAACCCTGCCTCAGAACATTTGGGCATGACTGACGCTTTCCAGACAACGATTGAGACGCATTCTCCGCGCGACGACTCTACTGTCTTCGAATCGACCGCGTTCAATCCTACTGTTGACCCGGCTACTCTAGAGATACCATGCCATCCTTCAAGTCCGGTATCATTCCCCATGCAGGAGAAAGCTAATGAGCGGTCGACTGCTGTGCCAGAGATTGTGCAAAAGCCATCAATGAGGGTAATTTCTACCCCAGAAACTCAGCGGGAACCTTCAAGGTGGGTACCGGCTTCTCCACGGCTTCAAGAACATCTCAACAAAACGTACGCCTCACAAATTCTCCAAATATGTACCCAGCCAAACGTACCACCCATGCTTTACTTTCCTATGCAGCAACAGGTTGGCCCTCTGCCTAGCGATCCATATTCGCAGCGGAGTATTCCTACTCAGTATGGTTACTCGCAGGTGTCGCAACCAAGTATGGAGATTTCTTCGATTGAGTCATCTTTAGTTATGGCGCGAAACAATGGTTTGTCTCCTCCGCAACAATTGTCGAACGGAGTGTATCGCCCAATCCCTCCAATTACTGACCACGATGCGCCAAATGCTGAAGATCTGGCATTGACTCCGACCAAGAAGCGTGCCCTCGATGCCAACGAACATGATTCCGAGTCAGCCCCAAAGCGAGCCAAAACTGCTGAGGTCAAACCATTGTCCACCGTTGCGATGGATGATGGTTCTGATGATGACGACGAGCCAGTGAGAAAGCGAACGCGGACCGCTCGGCGAAACCCATTCTCGACCGTTGCAAAGGATGACGAGTCTGAGGTTGAAGGGGTTGACGAGTCTGAGATCGATCCTGATGACGAACCGGACGAAGAGTCTGAGGATGATCCTAACGACGAGGCTTACGATAGCGATTCTTCAGGTCTCTCATCAGCACCTCCATCTCCAATCCTGCGTCCCACTGCTGGCGCGCAAAAATGCCCCTCCACACTTCTACCGCGCCATTCAGTCCTCAAGGAGAGTCCCCAACGGCGCTATGAACAGGAGCAGGAATCTAGACCCCTCGACCAGCAGAGAAAGCAATGGGTTCGTCGGCACGCAAACAGCCCCGATGCTAAGGGCAAGGCTCCTAACCGAAAGATGCAGAACTTGCTGAAAGAGATTGAAGATACCGAGGGATTCGCAGAAGCGCAAGGTTACGAGGTTAGAGAGAGCGTGGAACGGGACTCCTTGCCTAGAAGACCCGTCCGAAAAGGGGCGAGGAAGAGTTATGTTGGACAAGAGTAGGGGTCTGGACATAGCAGAAGAGATAGTATTCACGGGATTTTTGTGTCCTCTCTTGCTGGGCTTGCCTTTGACACACTGGCGCTGAAGGCTAGTTGGCTCAAAGTTAGGTAATCTCGGAGATTGCAAGAATATACATTTTGATACTCAAGAGCATTAATATACCAACTACAGGAAGTTGCTGAATTCTCAATTCTAAATCTATGTACAAGCACTCAATGCGCCCGCACAGCTTTTCCTATGAACGTCGCCTTGTTTTTGCTAGCATTCAATTTGGTAAAAGACGTCTTCGCTGTATCGTTCCATTTATGACCTAGTGCTTCAAAAGCAGATGGAGCCATCGAAGACATAGTTCAGGCACACTTGAGATTTTAATGGCAGGAGTTCCTTCGCATGTAGGAGAGCTCGATCAGTGAGTGCAGATTGAGAGGAGAGGGTCCATAGCTGGTGGATTGTGGTCTATGGCGTTCTCTTCTTTGCGTCAGCCACGTGGATGGTTTAGCAGTATCGCTTCAAGGCTGGAACCTTTTTCCGGAGGGGTTCAAAGTTCTAGATTTAACAGGGTCATATAGTGATCTCGTTCATGAACAATACGCATCCCATGCACAAATAGTGCCCACATAGGACACAAAGGAGTGGTTAGGCTGTCCCACGCCTGGGATAGCAAGCCTGATCAGGCGAAGATAGAGGCCTCAACAGGCATTTTCCCGAACCCTAGCGCAAGAAAACTTCCTTGCCTACGGCATAGAGATGGACATGGCGGAGGCTAAATCGCCCAGGGAGGCTGAAATTTGACAAATGGATCCTATCTTTGGCGCGTTACCAGAGTAAACTCGCGGCAGGGAGGAGACAGTTTTCTCGATTTTTTAACATTTCTGCTCTGGCTTGGTTTTATGCGAGAGACGTTCAATTACGAGAGCGAGCCACCATTCGACCATGCTTGCACCGCGAACTTTGCAAATGAATGAATTAATAAAACGCTTGCTCATTAGTACTGATTAGTATAAATTCTTGCATGGACCGCCGAATTCTGACAAACGCCCAAGCACTCCTCCCGAGCACTGGAAAAACAACTTTTTTAAGAGCTGGTAAGCCTACTTCCTCTTCAATGCATTCTTGGGAATAATGCCGCGGTCCGCCAGCTGATCAAACGTCGTGAGTACCTTCTCCGACGGGTGTCCCTCCCATGAATAGCGCCTTCCCGCACGCATGCCGCGCTGCTTGTCTAACTTCTGGTACGTCTGATACATCTGAGCTGCTTGACGGTCGGACCTACGCTCCGGCATCACACTGGCGCGGAATTCTGTCGGGCCTGTGTAGCGCGGAAAGGGGGTTTCGGACTCTCTGGAGCGCTCACGCTCACGCTCACGCTCACGCTCACGCTCACGCTCAGGCATCACGCTGGCACGGAAGTCTTTAGGGCCGTTGTAGCGCGGAAAGGTGGTTTGGGGCTCTCTGGAGCGACGAACGGCCGGTTTGGATGGGGCGCAGCCCATGTTCGCGATTTGGAGACGTTCTGGGATTGAAAAGTGAGTGTGTTTCGGTTGGAGGTCGAGATTGGGAGATGTGGGACGAGACTTCGATGGAAAATGGACGCGGAAGGGAAGGAAAAAATCTGTGAAGGTTGTTATAGTGAGACGGGTCTCAGAGGCACTAGGCTTATCTGGAAAGTTCTTCGTGTCATTGTACATTGTGGGTTTTGCCTAGACCTCCGATGATTCTTTGTACGTTGTCTCAATCATGAAAGAAGTTATGTTCCACAAACCTTTTGTCTTGTACCTTTGTACTCCAAGGTGGAAGTCGAAAGGGATTGTTCGATTGTCAACGAAAATCCTCTGGCAGACAATGTCTCTATACTCTTTACTTCCTCCGTCAACGCTGTTATACTCTGAAACAAAGGAGCAGAAACAAGGCACTCTTTATTTCCTCCTTCAATGCTATTATGCTCTAAAACAAAACAGCAGAAACAAGGCACATTGTCCAAACATTCAAGAGTAGCAGTCAAAGGAAGAGGGATCATCACTGGCGCCCATAAGTACAAGCATTCCCTCAAATGAACATGAAATATTAATTCACACTCAGCTTATTGCAGCACTGATACATAAAAAAAATAAAAGGGTCCAATACATCAACCGACCACACACTATCCCAGAGCCACCACTCCAACCAATCTTCACAACAATGACTCCGAATGTTCGCTTTTCGCCTGAACCTCTTCTCGTCTACCCTTACCTCCACCGCAACTCCCAATGCTGCTCCTGCTCCACAGTCATGCCAGGAGACATCTGCTTCAACTGCGGCCGACTCAGCACACTTCTCGTCACACCACGGCCACCTAGGAACTCAATCGAGAATTGCATGTCAGCCAATACAGACCCAGCACTTTCTCAGGACAGGCAAGTCCTCAGATCCAAGCCATTCGGCTCCCAGTATGATCTCATTGAGGCGCTACTGATGGCGAAACAAAACCTGGCGCAGCAATATTCTCAGCGACGTGTTTTTGATTCGCAACTCACCGAGATAGACGGTCTGCTAGATGCTAGAGGGACACTGGCAGATATCCATGCCCCGACAGCCAAGAACACTGCTCCATTCGAAGAAAGAGCCCCGAGTTCGTCCTATGGGCGTTTTCCATGCCCTTCGAGGACTGTTTCGAAATCCTTCGAAGCGCACTCAATTTGCGCCTCTAGCTCCTGCTCACAGACGCTGCGGTCTGATTCAGTCGCAGTTTCGGACGGCTTGTATGAGGATGATATGCCATATCGCAAAAACCTGGCACGATGGCTGGAAGACATGAGACCTTCTGGAAAATCTTCAGCTAGATTGACTAGGAGGGGGGTGGATTGCCGACTCAATTTGGGTGGCAAGAGCTGTGAATGGGTAATCTTTCTGTAGCCTTTTGTAACCAAAAATACACTTGATGCTTTACTTTATTGGTCCACCATGATGCATGTTCTCCCTCAAGTGACAATTCTCAATGGATAATAAGCAAGCTTAGCAAGTAGTTGTGGCCTGAATATTCCTCCTCTGTCACTCCTACCAATTTCCCTGACATACTCATCTCCGCTCGCATTTTCGCACAACCTTGCTCTATCTTTCGCATCCAACCCATTTTGAAACAGTCTCTTCCTGATTGGACTGGGAAGAAGTATCTAACTCACCTGATTCGGACATACAATGTCAGCGTTTGGCTTCGGTGCGCATCGGCCCCACACGTAGGATTTACAGAGGCAGGTGGCAGTGAGCTGTGACCGTGTTCTTCACTTTGACCAGGAAATTTGGTGCATCGTGGTACGCAAGCTGTTGAAGTGTTAGATAAAGGCGGTGACGGAAAAGGAGGAGTCGAACTTGGGGTGTGAGCAGATATGAAACTGGTATTGGCTCGCTCTGAGTCAGTGTTGTTGTAGTCGCCAATATTGAGCTGGGGCATGAGTGGAGGAAAAACAGGTCATTGGAACACTCGCAGAATGGCACATTATGTTCTTTGAGTGCGAATACGACAAGGGAGCGTGACAAACTTTAAGGGACGGTAGCTGAAGGGGGTGGCTGCTGTCAGGCTGACGGTTTTGGTTTGGCTTGGGTATTCTGTGTATGACGTGAAGCTTTTAGGGTGCTTCCAGGTGCCATCATTGCATTGGCACAAGAATGAGTTTGAGCCGTCGATATAGTAGTAGAAGTATTGTGTACAAGCTAGGGTGGGGGCTGCTGTTGAAGAGATGGTGACGCTGGCTGAACCATTTTGAGTCTCAAGTCCCCGCAGCTGCGAAGCCTTGAATCGAGCCAACGAGGTCACCGACGGATCCTGTCGCTGAAAGAGTGGTCGAAGAGGTGGTGCTAGTGGCTGATCCATACCAAGACCCGATCCCGCGGCTGCGGCGCCTTGGACTAAGTCAACGAGGTTACCAGCCGAGGTACTCACTGTCACGCCGAGGTCATGGTATCCTGAATTGCGTGTTGCATTACTGTAGCTGTTTGCGTCTGCTCCGGGGTCAGTTTGTACTTGGGATTGGAAAGGCCATAGCCAGGTGAACAAGATAGCACCGTCTTCCCTGGGAGACATTGTGGTGGATACGATCATGTGGAAGGCCGCGATGAGTCTTTGCGACCCGAACCCAATAGCATGTACTGGAATGATAAATGTTTTCATCTGACTGGAAATGAGTATGGTTGGATTTCAAAAAAAAAACACCTAAGCTCCGAGACCTATCGGTTATCCAGTCTTCCTCAGATTAGGGTTGCAGCTCCGTCACAGCAAGCTTCTTGGGGTCTTGTGCTGTTTATGCTTACTCTGTCGTAGCGCAAGTCACAGTGATGAACGCAATGTCCCTGAGAGCTATATGGAAAAGCATGGAATCCGTTTCGCCACTTCTTTAGCCTCGGAATCCTTGGCGCCGGGAAAATTGGAGTACAAATTGAATAAGTAAGTCGTACGGAGAACCCGCTCGCACCGCGTTGGAAACCACAAATTGTATCCAGGCTTGATCGCGGACTTCAACATCGCATATCAATGAAGCTCCTTTAGTATTCGCCCTGGATCTCCCTGAAGAATGCGTAAAAAGTTGTGGTTCTCGATGGTCTGGCCATGGTCAGTGACAACACGCGGAGAAAAAGACCTACCGGGCAGGTCAACGCAATATTTCTATAGTCGGCATTCTCTGACTCTTGGCATAGATCAAAGTCGCACAGAAGCGAAGTCCCCAATCCGAAAAGCTGAGGGATTTTTGAGTTTATAAAGGAAGCACTTGCACGTGACAAAACATCAACACCCATAAAGTTCTGCCCGTAAGACAATGTCTATCGTGACAATTCCTAGCGTGGGATATAATATTGTTCCATTTCAATGACAAACTTGGGTGAGCCCAGAATAGGCTGGTAAGCTGATAAAAGGGAAAATGACTAAACAGGTATGTGTGCACACAAGCGGTGAACATTTGTGCGCGCGCGAAATAAGATTGCTAAGAAATGGAACTACCCTTCTCAGCATAATGTCTAGTCCACCTAAACTCGCCGTTCACCCTCAGCATCTCAAACAAGCCTCCCAAATCACATCGCCGCCGCATTTCTAGATCGACAAGTTCTGTCCTCAAAGACGTGCCGCTCTCACCCATTAGTCTCATTCAGCAGTTGAATTCAAAGTCCATCCGGCGGTACCAATTAGCGTTCCCACCAATACTGCATTGACCATCGTTGCCGTTCTAAGACTGCGCCGCATTCTTGGAGAAATTGGCTCGGTGTCAACACCCCCAATCTCGATCACAGCCACGTACGGGAGCTGGCTGTTAACCTAATATGCTCCCCTCGAGGTACACTGGGAAGGCTGACTCCGTCGACACGACCCTGGATGGCGCCTTTGGGTAAACAGTCAAACGATTGTCCTTGGTGCCTCGGCCAGAGCTAATAGGACCTTCGCAATTTTGGTATTGTATAATGTGCACGCCGCACCGGCCATGGTATTGTCCGGCGTGGTGTTCGCGGAGACGATCTCATGAGCTTTAGATGCTCGGCAGATACAGGGGCCTAGTAATTGCTTGGGACAAGGGCAGATGTTTGGGGGGAAAATGGCTTCGAGAAGGGGGGCGGTGAGTGCGGTATGCATGTTACATAATTGGGTGTGGTGGGGTTTAAAGATTTGAAATTCTGCTTGGGGTTTTGATTGGTCCGTGAAGAGCTGAAGAGGTATCTGTTCGAGTTGGTTGGGAGAGTAGGAATGGATGAGTGATTTTCTGTCAAAAGCTTGGAGAGCAGAGACATATTTTGCTTAGTCGTTATGGCCTGAGTGTACAAGAGAACCGTTTGGTAACATGGACTGCCTTCAAATGACCACATCAGTAGCCAGCTGGGAACGAAAGTAATCCTACCGAAATGAGCAGGAAGTCAGTCCGCCGCAGGAATATAAAAACACTTTGGTATCGACAACTGGGACAGATTTGTCCGATTCGCATGGCTTACTCGATATTTGGAGACTTGGGAACTTGGTGATCTGCTCTTCCAACTTTGGAAAGGTGTCAGCGTACAAAGACTGCATGGGACCTTGCATGCGTGGGCCTTTTCATATGGATTCGACATTCCAAATTCCTACATGGCCGTTCGATTCTAGCTCGGCAGTGACTAACGAGAAAATTCCGCACAGCTAACCCAAACCGAGAGAGTTCTTCAGCCTCATGTCCTGTTGCTGCAACTTCGATCGATATCCGCACCTCCGTAATCCTTCACACAAGATCCTACCAGGTCCATGAATCAGTCTAGATCCGTGGCCTTGATGTCGTATGGGTGCACTCGATATCGACCTGATCCACGCATGGTAGATAGGCAACAATTGCAGGATCTTCACTTTTTTCTCAGCTTTGGTGCGGTTGGCTTTAGGTGCCTTACATTTCCGGAGCCAACAGGCGCAAGATAGTTTTTGAGAGCCAGAAAAATGGGAGTGAGCCAATGAAGTGCAGGTTCAATGGATAGAAGTGCAGCCGACACATGTCTTTCCTCCCGCCTGAATTAAATAATCAGCATCGTCAAGGCTGCACATTTCCTGGCTGAGTATTCTATTCTAGCAACAAATCATACTTAGCCGGTATGGTTAAGGTCCTCCCACCATATTGATATGATGATGCAAGCGGTGTGATGATGACAAAGTCACATACATTACTTACACTACATCACCATTCTTCTTGACCAGTGCGGCGGTACCGACACGGCACTATATTATTGAAATTAACAAACGCCAAGAATCTCAGCCGCACTGTATTCGGCTTAGTGCCTAGGCAACGACCTGCTTAGCTCGCTCGCGTCAATACGAGGCTAGAAGGTCAAACACGTGGCTAGACATGTTCCTTGATCACGACCAAGACTTATGATTGGCTCGCTCCATTATTCCCCAATTCCCGGTCGAGAAGCTGTTATATGCAGGGGCAGCCTACCAGGCATTTCCCTTCCGTCTAATAATAAAATCTCCGCTGATCCATACTTTACGTCTGCTGTGCGTTGGCCCGTAATTTTAGCGACCTCGTGCCTCAGCCTCAATTTCTCGGGGCGTTCTGACGCGAATTTATTGTATGGTCTAACATGGACGAGGACTCAGCCAAAAGGATTCAGATGATCTACCCTTAAGATTCGGATGCGACACTTCTCTTTCCCAGCGAGTATCCAGCTTCTTCCACGTGTCAAACTGGGTGCGGTTCGGCTGAGTTGGACTCTCGAGGTGCGGGCTTATTCTTTGAAATTGAGCAACATGATATATTAGAGATCCGCCATTAATCTTCGGTTCATGTTTTCCTGTTGCTCGCATCACTAACCAGATTCTCTAGCCACACTATTCTATTTTCAATCGGATGACATCACGTTGTAGCTTGCCTCTTGTACACTTCTACGTTGCGAGGTCTTAGCATCAACGCAAAGCACCTAAGAGTGGGGCTTCTCCCTCCCGACCGGCCGTCTCTAGCGCCCCTTCTTCGTAATGGGCAACAGAGGAAGACCAAGCACTGGCTGCCAAATCTGCAGGAACAGGAGAGTCAAGGCGAGCAAGTCGTTTCCCTTCAACAACCACGCTAACTCCCCTACCATGATAAGTGCGATGAGCAAAAGCCAACCTGTCTCAATTGTCGAAGAACGAAGAGGGTGTGTTACGGATATCGTGATCACTCGGATGTGGTATTCCACGACGAGAACCAATTGGCTAAAAGACATGCCTTGGAGAACAAGACTAGGCTCAAAACTCGCCACCACTACATTCGCAGCCCTTTGATGAGGTCATTCGCAGTGGACCCGGATCAGGCTGTTCTTAACCAGTTTTGTGGGCTCTGCGCGCTTGCAGACGGCAGCAAGGAAGGGCGCGACACTCTTCATGCCGTCATTCCGTCTCTATACGCCGGTGCTCGCTCTTCATCACCTTGCATTCCTGCAATATTGGCCGTGGCGTGGGTGACGTCTGCCCATTTTACTACCGTCAACCAGCGTATGGATATGGCGCGGCGGAAGTACGGGGAGGCGGTGGTAAAACTCCGAGATGCCCTACAGGATCCTCGCACAGCGAAGGCTGATGACGCCCTCTGCACGGTGCTATTGATGCTCATGCTCGAGGTTCGTAAACCTTTCACAGGCTTGTCCTGTTGCCATTGATAATGAATCTCGTGGCTGACTTCCGGGATTCAGAATATGACCGCCACTTCCCAGTCGATGCCAGACCCGATGAAACACATAAATGGTGCCGTTACGTTGGTCAACTTTCGAGGCATGCAGAACTTCGAGAGCGATGCAGCAAGGACAACGTTTAATTTTGTCAAAATCACCTTGGTATGCTGGGTGACCTGTGCTAGACTATGAATACTGACCTGTTGTAGACGGCCCTTCCCGCCTGGCACAAAACAGGAGGCTTCGCCTTCAGTGATGAAATAGTAGAGGCTGATAAAAGGGCCTGCGCAAGATGCGAATCTCCAGGCCTTTCGACTAGACTAGGAAACATAGCTTTCGCGATTGCCGTCCTCCGTGGAAAACTCGACAGAGCAGCTCTAGATCATTCCAAGCCTCAGTCTGTATGCGAGGTTTTCCAGCAGAGCCGAATTTTGAATCAGGAGTTGATGGCTTGGCGACTTTCGGTACCAAAAGAGTGGGAGGTATTCTCATTCGTCAGTCCTGACAACCAGAAACAATCTTTGGACTCCGCCGAATTAGCGCGTGCACCAACTTGGCGTGGATACACGGCTTCGTACCCAGATTCGTGGATTGCTAGACTGCTGAACCATTTTCGCATGCATAGCATAGCAATCCAGGCCATTGATATTCGCTGTGCGGACTGGATCGCTCGATATTGCAGCGCTGAGCGTCCGGCATCAGAAGTACCAATACCAGGGGATGTCGCCACCGCTCATGACTCGTTGACACGTTTAAAAGCGCAGAAAGTTATTAGGACGTTAGTTGATGGAATTTGTGCAAGCGTCCCATATCATCTGGACGAATTAGTCTTGAAAGTAAGACAGGACGAGTCTGTTGGCCGTGGTCGGTCACGCAAGTCTTGCCAGAAATTTCGTCCGGGCGAGACAGGTTCAGCAGCTTCAAACGAAAGTCAATCCAGATTGAGAGGGCCTAGGGGGCCGGGTGGGAGCTTCGTACTACTTCAGCCCTTGGTGGTAGCATATGCTGCGCCTGGTATACCAGCAGATCAGAAAAGGTGGATACTGGGCAAAGCTTTGGAAATTGCCAAGCACATCGGTATGGATGAGGAGATGGTTGAAAAAATGCTTAACAAATTAGCCTCTAGTTGAGCCTAGGTCGTGACCTCTGGGGGAATATCGCGAGTGGCAACAAGTCGTGATGCATCGTCTTTGTGCCTAATCTTGGAAACTCGATAATTCTGTCAACGTACAACTACGTTAGGTTGCGGTAGTGAAAAGCGTGGAATCGGGCCAACCGCTTCGAGACTGGGGTTCTTCAGGGCCGGCACGGTGGCGAGTATCTTGGCCGGATGCAGCGCTGCAAGCGCGGTGAGCATTGTCAGAGAAGCAGCACGAGAGCTCTGCTTGCTGGCTATGGAATTCCACCAGACTGAAGTGCCATGCCTGGCGCTTTGATGAGAAGACACAGCCTTCAGCCGAGGTAACCCTCCCCGCTACGAGACTCATCCTTGTCCGAGACGCACGATAATCCACCAGCATGGCATGGAACTATAAGGCTCCGTGCATCAACAACTATTGCCTGCCATCCCCAGTATCCGATGTAGCTTCATCGTTCAGGCCCGTTTTCTACAATCGCGTCCGTCAGAGACCCACACCCAACATCGCCCAAGCCTTCCCACAGAATGATAAACTGCGCACCCTTCCAGGCATTACACCGCAAGGGATATTCTACAACAGAGGGAACTCTCGCTATGTGCCATGTCATTCGTTCGCACGTTCTTCGTTCGCGTGGCACCGAGACAAAGATCGACAGTAGACTCGGAATACCTGAACATCCTTGTTCTCAGAGAACTGCTAGCATGGAGGGCGATGACTCGTTTCGCGATTTCATCTTCGGCTCTTCGAACGTACTTTTCAAAATTCGAGATGGGTACTGGTCGCTGGAGCCATAGAACTCAACTGTCAAAGGCGATCTAGGGATGCGAAAGCCCCAGGGGTCGGGAAGGGCGCTGCGCACTGTTAAGCTTCGTGCTTGGACCTCGGTGGTGTTCGAACTTACCGCACGGAGTCTATGTTTGCGGTATTGGATGATCGAGAGACATTGAGTCGTCGGTCGGAGGCGGATGGTGGAGCTGCTGGTAAGGAGGATGCTGGGACTTGTAGCGTTGGCGCCGCAAGGCATAGGGTGTCCACGATGAACATGAAGACAGCACATATTGCTTGCCAGGTACCCATGGTTCTTGTAAGATTTTGTATACCAGCGCGGTGCTCGCATGTTCCGGCGGCAAAACTGGACACCGCTGGTATAGTTATACAACGGTTCGCATGTAACTCCGTTGGTGCATGCGGTGGTGGTATGGCCGGTCGCTTACGCGCGCGCGCATATCGATTTGTGCAGTCTCAAGGCTTCCATTAGTCTCAGCGGCGGTACTATGGGTGACCGCAGACCATTATGGCCGCATCACTACGCTTTACTCAAGATCACACGACCCCAGGCTCGAGCTCATTCTTTGGCAGCGTTTTGCAATCGCTAACATATGCTAAAATACCTTGGATCAGAATGTTTGAGAAATAGCTTGGTGGCTCTCAGAACCGCACGAGCAACTGAAGTCTCAGTAAGATGCCGCACCATGCCTGAGGAGGGAGTGTATTGCCAACGCGCATGTTATATGTATTTTCCTCGCACGACACTTCGAGAGCTTCCGGCAGTCCCTTGTTTCAGATTGGGAAACGGGATAGATCTCGTCTATTGGCAGTGTGTACTTCAAAGCTGGGTTAGGGTTAAAGACAGACGTCTATTATCACCTATAGATTCCCTTAGATCGTTGCTGAGTGACTTGGCAACAACGGTTAGACTTACCAAGGTGGTTCCGAACGCCATTGCGGTCAGTCCTTGCACACATCCCAGTCAGTGCAACGGCGACTTCCCAAAATTTTCTCCAGGTATAAGTATCCTGTCCGCCGATGGTATTGATGATCATCACGCAACGTTTGTCCTCTACTAGGATGTCAGAAGCACGTGACGGCCTCATTGGGTTACTGGCGTACCCACCTGATTCGAGAGTGTAGGGTAGAGTGATCGCAGCATCATTGGCCCCGCTCGTAGTTAACGTTAAGAGAGTAGTACTGGCATCCATTTTGTCGACGATGTTCTGGCAAGAATCCAGCAAGCCGGGCGGGTATATGGTCCCGTAGCATTGGACCTTTGGCTCGTATGCAGAAACAGCGATGGCGAGATTGTTGTCGCCCCCTTGCATCCCATCAGCCCTGATGTAGCCCTCTTTCCTCGAAGTACTTGCCGATAGCTCTCGCAATCCCACCTCGTGGAATTGCTCGGCCCAATATGCATTTGGTGATAATGACGAACGCAGCAGCAGCCGCTTCTTGCTCACTTGCCCGAGCATGGTTCGCACCGTCGATCAGTTGTGGTTCAATGTAACACAGGCCGTCAGCTGTGGAAGATATCAGTAAGGCTACGTCCATCCGTCCACCAATTCAATGCTATACCGCTTATGAACCGCAGCGGCAGGTCAAAATCGAAGGCCCCAGTACCCCGCAGTCCCCATGTACGTGGTGTCTGCGAATAGAAACTCATTTGCCGGTTCGGATCACCGCAGCTGTTGAGCGCCAAGCCCCGACCAAATACGCCCCCGTTACAGATGAATTCCATGTCATCGAGCCTGCTCGTCAGATTCAATTGTCTCATCGAACTTCCATTTGTCAACGTCTCCGGGAAGATAGTCTCCGGGAGGGTAGTGTCCAAGACCAGCCCGAAAGCAACACATGCCCCAACTAAAGCGACTTTGGGCAAGTGCGCCAAAGCCATGGTATAATAATGCAATAAAGTGATAACAGAAATACGTCTTACCTTGTGCGATCATGTCCAGCTGCGGCAAGGCGCACACTTGTGCGCATGTTGAGATGAAATAGAAACCACGTTTTCGCCTTGAGGAATAATGCGCAGCCAATCATCACCAGTCGCATGGCCACATTGCGCACTTTCTAGATGCGTCCCTCGGCATGCTACCCTCCCACATCATCGCAGAGACCCTCGACCGGAGAAAAGGACCCCAGGCTTCTGTTTAACTAATGCGATCAAGACTTTGATAAGTCTCTCCCTTGGCCGAACGTGTGTTCGCGTTCTTGCCCGACCCTCACAGTCTTGGTACATTTCATGTCCTCGTTACTTGAAGGCTTAAAATGCAATCATACAGTTGAGACTGAACAGGTCCGTGTCTTTTACTTGGTCACAATCGGGCTATTTCTATCTTCCCTAGTGGCGGGGAACCACGGCAAGGATCGGGACTGGAAGACCTGCTCGTATTCTATACCCGTTATAAACCGGACTAGCGATGTTTTTGTGTTGATAGTCGTTTCCCGAATGTTTTTTGCTACCTCCGGTTATACATGAGATGGATTCTGAGGCAAGAATAGTGGATTCGCTCGTGAATCTTCCGGTATTATGTATTATTCGATGTTGAGATACAGTCTTTAGGACATGTACAACAGTATCTGTAGCACAACCACCGACGAAATGAACCTAGGGTCACCGCGAGGGATCGATGCGCGTTTATGAGTAGGATCAGCCGAGAGCCATGTTCTTGTGAAGCTTCGGATGCAATCTCATGTCAATGGAGCTGAGGGCTACCGAGCGCGAATGAAGTCCAGCGCAGATACGTCCTCCTTTCTGGACCCATGCTCGACCCTCCAGTTGGGGCAGGACAACGTCCTCTCTCACCTGAATGAAAATGGTTGTCCGGAAGGCGGATTCACGCACGCGGATCCTAATTAGCTTGGTTCGCAACATTCTTCGCTGCCCAGCCTCGCCTAAGGTAGTTGCCTGGACGCAATCAGCATCCTTTAGCCTTGTGTGCTGTGCCGTGTTGCACTGCCACAAACCCCTGTAAGCCCGCATTTTCGGAGCCACTAACGGTCCTCCTAACTTTCTGGCGTCCGGAACGAGTACTTCCTTCTACACCCACTGGCAGGATGGAAAGCTGATGGCAGCTAGGTCTCGTTGTGTGATTGAATTCGCTAGCTTCGATGGACGGCCTTTCTGCTGTTGCTGGAGTAGCCACCGCAGGAGCGCAGTTGTCTAAGTCTCTTTACGATCTCTACACGACGGTTAGAGTGAGCCGCCAGGAGATTCAAGATGTCGCAAACAATGTTTCACTACTGGCAATGGTTCTCGAAGAGCTCGATGGCGTCCTCCGTGATGATGGATTGAATTTTAAGCCGCGGTTGCGGGAAGCTGCACAGTCAATTGTGCTTAGATGTGCCGGTATCTTCAAGGATATCCAGAAACATACTGGAGCCGACCTGGGTCTGAAAGGGAGGAAGTTTCGTGAGAAGTTGGCTTGGTACTTCAAGAGAGAGCGAGTGAAGCCATTGCGCAGTAGTCTCGAGTCTCTGAAATCGACATTGAATATTCTTCTCCACGTTGTACAACTTGCGAAGAGTACGAAGGGCATAGAAGAATATCCGTGAGCTCACAGCATCATACATTTGATGAAACCAGCTGATCTCATGTAAGAGGAGTGAAGCATATCGGACATTGGTACGTTCGCAAAGAGCGGCGAGGCCTTGTTTGCCTCGTGATCGACAATCGTCATGCGGTTGAGAGATTGAAGCACTTTGAGGACCAGACATCCCAAACAGACTTGGAATCGATTGAAAACGAGCCACCACTTGCTTTTGCTGACATATTTCCGCTTTCGGAATCTATCCACAAGCGTGGCCAATCACCTGAGAGGAAGTTTGTCGTGGCGTTCTGGAACCCCACGCCCGGAAGCAATGAGGATCCCCGACGCTCCCAAGATCCAGACATCAACAATACACGGACAAGCCCAAGCACACCGAATGGCGACAGATCTATGTTCCCATCCTCCCCTCGGGAGAACCGAAGTGATCTAGATATGTCTATAGACTCGGATGCAGAAAGTATCGGCCGATCTACCTCATCTCAGACAACGCGAAGGTCAAGGTCCAGATCTAGACCGATGAAGGAGCAAGCAACTTCCCGGTTGATCTTGAACGTCATACCTCACGAGACAGCTGATGAGAACTTCAAGTCCGCACAGAGAATGAGCAGGTCCACACTTCTTGAGGCAAAGGCTGAGGAGACTATAGACACGCTCATGCGCCATTGGACGTATGTCGACCCAAGATACTTTTCTGAGGATGATGGCTCGTCCTTGTCTCCTGAGACTTCGCTTCCACTTCGTCGGGGCAAAGCCCCTCAGCATATCCATGAGGCGAGCACCCCTGGTCCTTACGAGAGACCGCCGAGTCTACATAACAATTCCAGAAGACCAATATCGGATCTTTTGGAGAACAGTGGCTCCGCAAATGAGCTTGATGACAGTCAAAACATTTCATTGGAGGGAAGATCTAGAACTTCCTCTACCTTACCGGCAGGGCGGCGTCGGAATGGCAAGGAGCTACCAAGTTCGCTGCCACTTGCTTCCCAAAACACAGAGGGTGGTCGAGGAGCGAAAGCCGAAGGCGCACTTCGCTCACCAAGTGACCAAGGACTACAAAGTCCAAAAGAACCATCTACTCCTGCACCGCCATACCTTTCTAGTCACTCAGGCCGGTGTCTTTCTTGTAGCGCCGTCTCTCCTAGCGGGTCTCCGTCCGGTGCAAATAAATATGCGGGCCAGCCGGCAGACGCAAAATCTCAAGAAACAGTTGCAGGAAATGAGGCAAGCGTGTCCATGGACAGTGCTTTTAGGTTATTCGAGAATAAAATGCTTGAGATGATGAAGCGTCCGCCTTTGCAACATGGTACACTAGATGCGCAATCCTGCCAGGAAAGCGAGCAGCAAGCCCAGTATCAGCAGTCAATTACCACTGGTCAAGAGGCTGAGCCCGTGATACTGAAAGATTGCCTGGGGAGGAAGTTCGTTTTTCCAATTGACACGTGCAGATCTTGGCAGGTGAGATTCCCTATGGTAAAATAGTACAGGCTCAAGGCTGACCTAGTAATCCATCCTCAGAATATGGAGAACCTGATAAGACACACTTTTTTCCACGTCGAATCCATGAACTCTAGGATCCTACGGGGGATTATGACATTCTGAGTCCTACGGGTGAAATCATTTTGCCAGAAATATGGGGCGCGGTCATTAAGCCGGGTTGGGTCGTGGAACTGCGCTTTGGAGACTTTGCAAAAGCTGCAGAGATTAGTCAGAAGGATCTCAACGTCGGCGTCATCGAGATGACGCCAGATGTAAAGTCCAGCCCGACTACTCCAGGTTCGCAGTTGGCGAGGGCGAAGCGGCGTGCTTCTTTGAGGACGTGGCTTGGAAATCGCAAGTCGACCCCTAGTGTTGCACTTGAATAACGAGGCATATACACGTCCTCAAGTACGTGTGTATTTATGTCTGGGTCAGCGTACCAGTATACAGAGCTTTTCATGGTCCCTTTAAAAGGGATCCATTTCAAGCATTCAGACCATACACGCCTTCAGCTGGAGTCTGAAAGCTACGATGTTGCATTCTTCGAGGTCACGTATGGAGCCATTCGGTTTGAGACGGCGACTGGAGGATACAAGAAGGCGCAAAACAGTGTGTGTGCCTCGTTCGATAAGTATAAAGTAGAGAGACCACCACGTTCACAAATAGGACCTTAAGGATGTCAAATTGTGCACAACAATTCTAGAAAGTGGATAGGAAGTTATTTTCAACGCAAGGTGGTCCGTAATTCACCTGAGATGCTGCGACTAAAACGATGCGTCTGCCGAAGAAGCTTGCTAAAGGCTTTGGATACAATATGAACGAGAATATAAATACATATTTAAAACCCCTACCACGCCTCTACCTGTGTGATCGAAGATCTACCGTGATAAGGACTGCTTTTTAGGGCGAGTAGACTCCCTAGCTTCCACATTTGGGGCAGCGCTCGGTTTTGGGATGCTTCTTACCACATTGTCTTCCCCCACAAAGACGGTTTTACATTAATTTGATGCTTGGTGCAGATAACCTCGACCATGCGGCAGCCGCCCTGCGATCTCTTCGGGCAATGATCAGGTTTGGTCATTGTATTTGTCGCTTTTCGTTTGCTGTGCAGTGGGAACCCGTACCTTAAGAGGATCAATCGTGACGGTAATGGGTAATAAAGGCTCAACGAGGACTGCTGTTGCAGATGGAAGCACGGAAGAATATTTATGAGAAACCCCAAGATAGTTGCATAGGTGTTGTAGGGTCAATCGTCACTCAATCAAGTGGTACAAAAAGAAAGCCTATAACACTTCCTTAGAATCGCAAGGAAGGCGGCATTGACCGTTGAGAGGCTGAAAAACGTGTTTCTGACACCTTTGCCTTGAGGAGAGTGAGTACTTTCAGACCAAGCTTAAGATTTCAAAGAACCAAGTGCAGAGTGTAGACAGGGTTGATGATTGACGAGCTCAAACAAGAAGAACAAAAATGTTTGATTTGGTGTATCTGGCTGACTCCAGCATAGACAAAATACTAGGCTTCTCGCCAAGGTGAAATCATAACAATAGAAAACACTTTTCCTTCCTTTTTTGTGGTAAGTCCGTAGTGTTATTAATTCTCCATCTCCGTAGAAATTTCGCCAGCTACTTTTCTGCGCATATATCTTCACGTAGAATAAGGCTCAAATCACAGCCACTTTCCTCGAACATTCAAAATCATGGGCTCCGACCATAGGAAAACAGAACGTTTTGCTCTGACAAGCCCACCGTCTCCGGCAGCGCATTGGTGCTCGCAAACAGTGAGGCCATACAGAAATGACGCATGCCCAAGTAGATATATAGATATATGATTGGGCATATCCAATACTGGGGCAGCTAAGACCTTTCTGGACATGCAAATAGCCCAGAAAGGCCCCCAAGCGCTAGAAAAATTCCCATATCTAAGCGACATGCCCTGGAGTGAAAATGAAGCCTATATAGGTGTGGGTGGGAGGGAGAACAATGATATGGCTCTGAAAGAGAACAATTCGAATGAAGAGCCCACTACTGGTGCAGTGGCCATACAAATAGTACCCGCCATGGCCACCTGTCTCCCTACTATCGCATATCGCATAATGATGGAACGGTTGATTAAACAACCACGAACGCTATGGCCTCATAATAAGACCCTAACTAAGCCCACAGTCCCACTGTTGCGCAGAAGGCGGAGACGCGCGGGGAGATTCCCAGCTCGCCCACCTTGTCCAACAAGCATTTGTTGGATCAAACTCTTCTACCACCTCCCCCTCTGGAGGCTCACACACCTCAACTATTAAATGTGATCGGGAGCCTTACGATGTGTTCAGTGAGTGTGTCGGTAGACTCTGCCAAAAGCTATGGCCTCCAGAGAAATCCATCAAGCTTCGTATCCTGAAGAGTAAAGCTGCCGCCCGATTGCGCACGAATAGTTTCTGCGGCTCTCTTGTCCCCTCGCTACAAATCCCACTGATAGAGCGGCTCCCGGGGGGCGATTACAACCGCATCACGGGTATAATATTACCCTCATCATACAGCGTGGACAGTCGCAGGCTGATCCTTCGAGTACCACGAGAGAAGACATCCAGACCTGACCGGGAAGTGGCCACTTTGAACTATGTGCGCGAGAGGACGTCAATACCTGTGGCCCAGGTTGCGGCGAAGGACTTCAGCCGTGACAACTCTCTGAAGAAACCATACGAACTACAGCACCGCATTCCCGGGACTGATATCAATTTGGTATGGAATGATCTCAGCTATAGCCAGCCATATAGTGTCGCTCGCAAGTTGGGCGGTGTAAATCAGATAGCTTTTGTCGTGAGGGAGTTCAGTCGCCGGCGTCCTTGAAGCACAAAAACCATACTGACAGTCATTATACAAGTAACTGCATACGTAGTCACAGAAAAAGAGTCAGAAAAGCTGCTGATCGTTCCATTCGAACTAGGGGGGAGGGATGGTTATGGTGAGCTTCTTGAAGGCCCGGACGCCAAGAAACTTGTTCGCATTCAAGCTCTGCCGTAGAGTTGCTCGAATCCTAACTCACTCGTTGGTGCGTATGGTCTGTTGCCGGACAACGTGACCATGATCCAGACGTCAAGCTCTGGAATGCCATGCTCCAAGCTCTGCATAAAGAATTGCTGTGCCACGTCGACTTACACCCTCGCAACATCATGGTCAAACTCCAACCAGACAATTCTCTTGAGGTCACAGGGATTTTTGACCGGGACGGGGCGGTCTTTGCACCAAAGTTCGTGAACTGCGAGCCATCTGGGTGGCTATGGGCCTACAATGTTGATGACCATGTTGACGAGGATGGCTCGCTGCCTTGGCCATATGAAGTTGAAGGAGCCAGTAACTTGCCTTTCACACCGGAGCAACAAGAGCTCAAGCTTCTCTTCGAGGAATGTGCTGGACCTGAGTACTCGCGTCTGGCGTATGACGAGCACTCTCGACGCTTGGCTTAGAGGCGAGTCATCATTGGAAGGCGGCTGAGAGGATTCTGAGGGAGTGGGACATGCTTCGTCAGTCTTTGACACAGCCACGGTAAGGAACATCTGTAAGCCCACGATTGCTATACCATAGATGTCGAGCAAACGCATGGTAATCCTATAGGGTCCATTTCTGATAACGACTTTGAAGTCAGCACGCAATACGTAGAAATGGGGATACTATGAATCTGGTTCAATACAGGTAGTTTCAAGAGTACTCCCGAGCGAAGGTTTACAGAAAGGTATATACTAAGAAATGAAGAGAGAGTCTTTTTTATTTTTTACATATTTGGATCTATTGTCTTTTACATCTTTGGATCTACAACCATTGCGGTGTTTCTGTCTCCTGAGTTCAGTATCTAAATAAAAACGAAACCTATGACGGATACTCTAAGCATATCTCTCGCATACAAGCTCTGAACTCTGGCGTTTCTAACCTCTCATCTAACAAATAGAGACCATTGAGGATGCGCATAAGATACCTCAAGCGGAGCTCTTCTGCATCCACCTCAGTCCTGGGCCTGCGACCTTCCAGGAGCTCTAAAGCGTTGTATATCGCGATGGGTCCACAATCGTACGTGTTGTCCTGCTGCGCTGATGTTGCTGCAACGATCTCGCGAGTGTCTGGCTCTGGAAACCCCGAGGCATGGCATATCAGCTGCTCGAGAAGCGGGAACTGTTCTTGGCACGCTCGCCACGTTGGTCCTTTCTCGCCCTGGAAAAGGGAGTTGTAAAGAGTATAGGTCCATACGTCGTTGGCTAACTTCACCTCAACGACTGTCCAGTGGATTTCGGTGGGGTTGAAGCAAAAGACAATTTTTTTTGTCTCAGGTGGGAACTGGTATAGGTTTGGTTCAAGCTCGTCGTTCGACCATAGGTGAATCTGGTCCTCAAGCCAAGACCGTCCGGTGAAGACTCGCCAACCTTCATCCACGTCGTCCCGGACCATGGAGGCTAAGCCTTGCCCGAAAAGTATAGACGCTGGAAATGGGTCCTTCCCGAGCCCTATAAGAACGTCCATGGTCTGTTCATGTAACCAGCTCAGGTTCTCCCCGTTACCGTAGGGCGATCGATGCTTGTCTTCGATGCGAATGAAACCTTGGTATTTCTCTGGTACAAGGGCAAGGACCATGAGTAGATCGAGCGGCGGGCCTACGCCAAAGTCGATTTGGTGAGTGGTTGGGTTCTTCTCTTTGGCGTACTGCTGCCACCACTCCACTATCTCGGCTACTGTCCGGGCAAAGGATCGAGCATCTTGGTCTATATACTCGTCCCTTGCAATCTCAACGAGGTATAACCTAGTCTCTTCAGTCTGCTCCCTTAAGGTTTGTTCCATCAACGTCTTGCTGACAGTAGACGTATGGCTTTCATCGTCGGCCTCAGTCTCAATTTTGTTGACTGTATAGTTGACACTGCTGACGGGACACATTGTACTTTCGTGTTCGGCCTTGCTTGACTCGTCGTCGATCAACAGAGTGACAGGACAGATCTTCATGTCGAATGTGAACAGACTAAATTTTCCGTCGAGCAAATGTGAAAATACCGTGATCGGAGAGTTTGGGAGTATGAAAGAGGAGGGAGTAATCCATTCGCTTTGATTAAGTTGTCATGAAACAATTAGTCCTACAGAAATGAGGTAGCACAAAGTGACTGGGGCTTAACACAAGGGCAAATCCAAACCAACGAAAGACTCCGGACAAAGACCGTAAGCGCAACAATGTCAGGTGATTGTTCGATGACCATCAAAGACACCGACTCTCTGAAATAAGCATGCGGAGAACAAAGGGTCAAAAGAGTTGGCTCAACAACTTTTACCATCTGGCGATTTTAGATACCTTTCACGCAACTTCTAGAGTGACGTTATTGGCCATGTTTGGTGCTGCTTGGACCAGTTCCCAGTCTATAGATGCTGCTTTTTGAAGTTCTCCCGAAGACCAGTAATAGACAAGCTTCTCTGGCCCAACCAAAAACTTCCCACCAACATGAGAGAACCCTCCTACACATTTCATGGAAAGATCCAAGGAAGCCTTGTGTACTGTCCAGAGTGTAAAGTCCACAGAGATCATGGAGGTGCCATACCGAAAGACCTCTGGCAGCTGGAAGAACCCCCACTTCGTCTCCTTGCAAAAGTAATGGGCCGAGTAAGTGACACTGTCTAGAGGATTTGTATCGCAGCGTGAAGGCAGTCGTTGGCTTGGGCTGGTACTAGGAGTGGGTCAGAGGCTGCGTCAAAGCAGTCTTCATATCCGTTGATACTGGAAGTGTTCAGCAAATTAGGACCGCTAGAGTTCAGCGATTCGACGCTCTGTTGCTCGTACCAGTCTGTGTTCTTACCTTTCGGTGATGGAACGCTTTCGAAAACGGTCTACTCCGCAAACGTAGGATTTCAACACCTTTGGCGGTATGATGCCCAGACAACAGTAAAATGATCTCCGCTATGCAATTGTCTTCGCAGATTACGAGCAGCGGGTAGATGCCACAATCCGAGCCGGATCCGGCGATCAGTGAACAGCATAGCTGAGAGGCTGTCTGGCATCACATGACTCCGGAGCATGAATGACTATCGCGAGAAACTTCTCGTATGTGCTTGAATTGAGATACATCGCTCGTATGTATAGTATGTTGAACACTGTGTACTCGGCGTGTTTCTCTCCGAGCCATAATCAACTCCAAGGATTCGGATCGAGACACCACGCTAAGCTCCAAAAGGCTTAGAGTATCAGATGTCTTTACTCGTATATGTCGTCATTCCGAGATTATCCCGAGATCACTTGGCAGAGAAGGATCCTTCCTTTCACCAACCCGCGTTTCCTTCAGCCTCGTCTTCTGCGTTCATTCACGGTAAACTAAAACTGCGATATGCAGGCACCGCTTGTGACACAGTTTTCTCCGAGACAAGTTCTGGCTGTTTGTGGCCTATCGAAGCGCCAAGTAATTCCTAACCGCCGCCGAACCTGAAACACTACGCGTATGATGCTTTCAGACTTCTCCCTTGGATATTGATTCTCGTGCAATGGAACTTTTATTTACTGCTCATTATCTTATCCGAGTCCCTGCTACTACTTCTTACCCGCTCTGCTCACTAATATCAAACAACCATTCATCGCCAGATGGGGTATTCTACGCCCAAGGATTGGACAAGACACGGCTACATTCTGCGAACGTTCTGCAAATCTAGATTGGGTTGTTTCACGCAGGCCGTATTCGACCCCAAGGTCAGGGCTCAAGTTTGCTTCGCTATGTTGTACCTTTGTTTCCTTTTGCCCCTTACATTCACTGCAAACGTCTTGCCTCGTAGTTGAGTAGCACCATTGATCTCCATTGTTCTTTAAGATTGTAGTGATCTCCCCATTGTTCTCTCTCAAATCTCACAATAACACATTGTACAGTATTTCATTGTACTTCGCGAATTTCAATTGTTCCTTACTGCGCTGGTCGCCTTTAAATATTCCTTCACAAGTCTCCTTCCTCTTTTTCATTACTTCACATCCACTGCAACAGCACTCCCACCAAGCAAACCAACAACTCTCAAAACTCCAGCTTCAAAAGTCATACTTCTTCGTCGGGAACGAAGCACAAAAGCTGGGTTCAACAACAACATGTCTTCAATCATGTCCATTCTCTCCTTCTCAGCCGCCCTGTTCGCTGCCACAACGAGCGCCCATATGATCCTTGGGTCGCCACCACCATACGGCAGTCCAGACAACAGCCCTCTCGTAGCAGATGGCTCCAACTTCCCTTGTAAAGCTACAAGCAACGCAGGCGCGATTGTCACGGAGATGGCCATTGGTGCAGCACAGCCACTCTGGTTCATCGGATCTGCAGTACATGGTGGAGGCTCATGCCAAATCTCTCTCACCACGGATATGCCAGCAACAAAGAGTTCCAGCTGGATGGTTATTCACTCTATTGAGGGGGGCTGCCCTGCCAAAGGCGTCTCTGGCAACGACGCCGCCGGCCAAAGTGGAGGCAGCAATTACACCTACACCATCCCTCAAGGCATCACTCCGGGATCATACACTTTAGCCTGGACCTGGTTCAACAAAATAGGCAACCGGGAGATGTACATGAACTGCGCGTCGATCAAAGTCAGCGGAGGATCGAAGAAGAGAGCAGCCACTCTTAATGAAACTCTCGGCATTCCCGAGCTCTATGAACGCACAACGCCATCTTTCCCAGGCATGTTCAAGGCTAACATACCAACAACCGACTGCGAGACTGTGGACTCAGCCGATGTGTTATTTCCAGACCCAGGAGCTTCCGTCGAAAAGGATGGAACCAGCGCACTCACTGCCCCAACAGGCGCTAAATGTAACGTTGTGGCTGGTGGTGGTTCATCCGCATCGAATTCAAGTACAGCTGCCGCTGGGTCGTCTTCATCTGGGTCTTCGTCTGGGTCATCTGGGTCTGGGTCATCTGGGTCTGGGTCATCTGGGTCTGGGTCATCTGCTCCAGCATCTCCTGGGTCCTCCAGTGCTGCTTCGGCTGCTCCTTCGATGGCCACTTCTGACGCTCCTGCATCTGCCGCCACTTCAATGGCTGCTGCTCCTTCAGTTTCTGCCTCTCCAGTGGTCGCCGCAGCTCCTTCCGTCGCTGCCGCAGCACCTAGCTCTGCGCCTTCGGCAATAACGAACTCTTCCTCGAGCTCAACAACACCCTCCACGTCGTCCACCGGCACATGCTCCACAGCTGGCCAGTCCGTCTGCTCGCCTGATGGAAAGCAAATTGGCGAGTGTACGCCTCAACTCACCGTCACATGGATCCCTGTGGCTGATGGTACGAAATGTGTGGGAGGATATCAGGTCTTTGCTAAGCGCTCTAACCCCAAATTCCAGAAGGGTTATGTCCGTAGAGGCGAGGGCCTCGGCATCTGGTGAAGAGAAGGTGTAGACAGGGACTATAGCAAGACTTTCTTTTCTTTTGTACAGTTTCCTTGATTCACTTGGTGAGCAATAAACATGAACAAACAGAATACAGTCATTTCGGGAATTCCTCTCCATTTTTCCATGCTTCTTTCATTTTGGTACAACAGTCGTACTTCTCATGCCTAGCAGCTACGGTCCTTTACTTTGCGAGGAGTCGTAAGCACATGGGTTAAATGCAGCAAGAGCCTGGCGAGATGAGTTGAGCAGAAATGTTGTCGCCGATGGCTTGGCGTCAAAGTCTCAAAGAGGCTTCGACTACAGCACCACTTACCAATGAAATACCTAGGAGATTCAAATCAGCTATGTGTTCCATGTCCACACCACGAGGTAGTGAGATCAAGCTCCCCTCGCAACCCTTCCATTCATTCGTTAGCCTAAGCCACGAAAATCCGAAAGTGAACGCCTAATCGTGTTCCTCCACAAGAGGGTAGATGTGGGGTTGTGTATACCCTTACGATGACTTGCTGATATCTCTTTGAGCACTAATTAGATGCGTAAATTAGTCGTTCTTGAAATTATCGGTAGCGTGCAAGTTTAAAGCCATCTTAGAGCCTAACAACGACCTCAGGACCGGCATTTAGTATTCCACGTCAAAGCGACCATGACAACTCTCGCCTGCTCTACTCCAGGCACCCAAGCCATCTTACTATATCTCACCTGATCAACGCGACGGGCAACCAGGATCGATCATCCGCTCCCTTCCGAGTTGAGAAAACTTGCCCACATCAATTCCAGGCTCTGCAGCCATAGAGTCTCATATGTTGCATGCAGTGTATGACTGCATTCTGCATTCTCTATCTTTCCATCGCGGTGTCTGTCAGTGGAGATGATGTGATGCGTGGAGTTGCTGGGCCTTTTTCCCAAAAGGAGGAGGAAGAGGGTAGTTAAGGATGGGAGGCAGACGCTGATGACGCCAGCGCTGACTTCGACGCAGGACCAGAGTTGAGCGAGGGTACTGGTGTCTATGACCAACGGATTAAATAGGCACCGAGTCTATGTAAAAGGCTGTTGAGAGATTGACTTACACATGAGATCCTTGGAATCGACATCGAGAAGGACGACCAGCCGGACAATGCTTGCTATACAAGCGCTGTTTTGAAGAGACCTCACGTTAGCAGCAGCGCTAGAAAAGATTGGAAGGCGCCTAGCAAGACTACATACATGGCTCCAATAGTAAACGAAATCGCCAACCCTGTTTTCCTCCATTTAGAGACTTGCAACTTCCAAACTATCGGTAGTGGTAGGAACAGGACGGTGACGATGGTGGCTGCGCTGGTCAGCCCGCACGCGAAATAGAAGGCGTCAGAATTGATGCATTTTCCGCCGTGTATGTTCTGGTTCCACATAAAGTCAATGGGAGTGCACTGGAGTATGGTGACTAGGACTGTGGAGATGGTCCAAAGTATGTCCCAAACGCCTATGGTGTAGACGGCCTTGCGCATCCATGTAGTAGGGAAGATCCGGATGTAGAAAAGGAGGATGGCGAGGATGATAAGGCCGGTTGAGAGGGCCCATGTTATTTGTTGGACGAAGACGCTCTGGCGGAAAGTGCTTGTTAGCACGCAGGATAAGGGTGAGAAATCCAGTGAGTAAAGGTCATACCACGCCAAAAGATGTTATCTTACTCGGATCCACTTGAGAGTTGTGTCTTCCCAAGCCAGAACTGATCCCTGGATAATCCTGTAAGTTCCTTGTCTGGCATTAGAGCCTGAGAATGCGTATCAAGGCTCCTACCGGTTATTGTGAAGATGTTCACGAGCCATGAAGTCACCTGAGACACCAGGAGTAGTAAGCGACCAATCCAATGATGGGTTCCCGAAGAGCCCGACCAAAGCAAGAACAGCTACCCAGTCGTCCCACCACAACACCGCCGCCGAGGACCAACGGACTAGGAGCCGGAGTACAACCGCTACGGTGGAAAGTACCAAGCATGTGCTTGTGACTGCAATTATTTGAACCTGACGGTTGTCGAAGCCTTCTCCAGGGATGCCGCTCATTTTGTTGCAGGTTTTTGTTAGGGTTCTTTGATTCGCTTGCTTGTTTGGGGATAGGAAGGAAAGCTGGCAAAGTAGAGGAGGGTGACCTCTCAGGATACTAATACAGACCTCTTAGGGTACTGATATACAGCCTAAGAAAGACCTCTGAATGCAAATTTAAATTGCCGGAGAAGCCAACTGGCAACACCCCAGTCTGTCTGTTAAGAATTGAAACTTGACTGACAGCAGACTTTCACGAATTCGTCCTTCCAAGGCCATCGTCGGAGAGTTATTTGGAACATATCGCTGGAGCTACTACCATTTACCATACTTCAGCTAAAAATCGGCGCGCCATTGAAGCCGCATGGTATCACGGATCTCAGAGCAGAAAGAGCAATACTCGTACGGCCGAGAGATCTGTCATCTTAGCGGTCCGGAGCAGATACACCCACCAATCATACCCTCCCCAAGGGTTCAACATCCAGCCTCGATTGTTAGATGCATACGTGCCAAGCAGATAGATGCCGGCCGTACAATTAAGCGAAAAAGAAGGATCAAGAATGCAAAACCATTCTAAGAGAGAAATGCCTCAGACCTTCTGGCACCCCGGTGATCTGTGCCTAGTCTACTAAAGGAGAACTCAGTGGAGCGGTCAGGTGCAAACCACAGGGACGGCAACGAGTGACTAGAGAGTAACTACAAGGATACGAGTGCATGATGAGAGAGAGTGCTGCTTAGCTCATGCATCTACCCATCGTCGGAGGTCTTGATGTCATCACTCCGGTCATGATCGCCTTTTTCCTAATTCAACTCACATGGGTCAACTGAGCTGCTTGGAAAATGCAGAATAGGTTTTCCTGGCTGCTCTGTAAATGGCACCTGTACGGCCGCCCGTGCAAAATCAAAACCACTGACTTCTATGAAGCCTGGGGCCTGGGCCTGGGGCTTTGGGTTGGCGGGACCTTGAACGGGCACCAGCGCGCCTGCCGGCTGCCGCCTTACCTTAGTGATAAACCTTTTCCGTCTTCCCCAGGCCAATCACGCAACCGACCCGATTTGATAGATTCTTCTGAGCGCAGTGCAGCACTGTCAAACTCGAATGATTTGTCAGAGAATGCAGAGCTCCATGTTTAAGCCGTCTCGGTATCCTTTACGAAAACTTATCGGCCATGGGATCATCCGCACCCATCACTGATGCAGAAGAATGTATTCAACGTCCACCCTAGACGCGGGCCAAAGACCTTCAGCGCCAGGGGGCCGGAGCAGACCTAGGATTCACCGCTTCCACCTTCCAATCTCCAAGTCGGAGGGTCATAGCTGTGCGGCAAAATGCTCTTGCTCTGTGTACTTGGAGTTTGTACTGGACGACTTATCCTCTCAATCTTCACCTCAACATCACTTGCTTCATACCGCCACGACCTACCAAAGATCAGACCTGCTGCATTGAAAAGTCAATTATTTCCACTCTTCGAATTCATGAAGAATCGCGTAGTGTGCTATCGCACCCATGGAGCTCACAGACTCGTCCAGAAAGCCTGGGCAAAAGGATGAGAGCGACGACTCGGCCCGAGTGCCAGCAAAGCTGTCGTCGGCGGGTTTTACTCTGATACCACAACCCTCGGATGATCTCAAAGATCCTCTAGTATGTCGTAAAACCTCTCACTCAAACCCTGCCTGCTATACAAGCCTACTGATCACACATTCTTTGCAGAATTGGTCTTCATTGAAAAAGGCTACTACACTTTTCATCTGGTGTTTCGGATCCTTCGTCACTACAGCTTCCGGCCTAGGAAATGCTCTTGGGTACTTCGTTCAAGCCAAAGCCTACAACAAGCGAGATCCAATTGCTCTTTCATATTCCGTAGGAAGACATCCGTCCTAAGCTCCTAGCATTGTTCATGCTGATACGGATTAGGTAGTCGCGGCCACAGCAGGCATAGCCATCGGACCCCTCTTTGCGGTACCCCTTGCGCGCCGTTATGGACGAACATTCATCTTCTTTTGGTCCCTGGTCGGCCTTTTAGTCACGGGAATATGGTCCGCCACTATGACCCGCTCGAATCAATACGGAGCCTTCGTCGCAGCGCGGCTCTTCGGAGGTCTTTTTGGTGGCACCGCCCCAACGCTTGGTGCTGACACTATCGTGGATATCTTCTTCCTACACCAGCGGGGAAAGGCCTTCACTGTGCTGAACCTCTCCTTTCTTGCCGGTGTCGTCGTGGGTCCAACCATGAGTGGGTTCATTGTTGGCTCTACAAGCTGGACCGTACAGTTCTGGTGGAGTAATGGTCTTGAAGGCATCATTATCATCCTCACTCTCGCACTGCTGGAGGACACATATTATGATCGCACACCGGAGGGCGGGGAATACCGTGGCAGATGGCCAGAAAATTTCTTTGCGAACAGGGTAGCGACATTCTTCTGTGGAGCTCGCATGATTCCATCAATATCGATGGCCGAAACTGTAAGTCAGTCCTTCAAACATACTCGTATCCATGTTTCGGAGAAGGTCCTGCCGCAAAGCACCAGGGAACACTAATCTATCTTTCAAATTCGGATGATCAAGAGATTAACAGGCCCATTCAGTTTCAGATCTTCTGCAACTCTTTCCTTATTGGCATCTGCCCCGTCACCATTCTCTGCGGCGCCTTGACCCTCATCGACTTTGGCTTCGCCGCATTCTTCAACATCATCCTAACAGTCTTCCTACAAGATCCTGTCGTAATGGGCGGCTACGCTTTCACACCCGTGCAGAATGCAGAGTGCAAGTCACATCTCATCGATTCCCCAATCGTGAAAATTCACTGATATTTAAAAAGTCATCTTGTGCCTCTGGTTCGGCGTCATCATAGCCCAACTTTATGGGCATTTCGCGAACGACCGCATCCCTCTCTGGATCTGCCACCGTAAGGGCGGCATCTGGCAGCCCGAATACAGACTCCACACACTCTGGCTACCGGGTCTCGTTGTCCTACCCATCGCTCTTGGCCTGTATGGCGCCTCCTTGCAATACCACCTGCACTACATGGTTCTTGCGCTCGCCAACTTCTTGGGTGGATTTGCGACGAACGCCATAATACCTGTCACAGTCAATTATATCATTGAATGCTTCAAAGGACATGCGTCAGAGTCCGCTGCTATCATGGGGGTGTATAGGCTGGCGTTTAGTTTGACACTTCCTTTTTTCGTGCCTGCGTGGATAATTAAAGTTGGAACGGGCTGGTGTCTTGGGATGGCTGCGATTCTTTCGGTTTTTGCGTACGGGGGGGTTGCCTTGTTGATGTGGAAAGGGGCGGAGATAAGGAGATGGTCCTTTCAGAGCTTGTCGTCTAATGAGGGAGGGCTGAGAGTCATGACGAGTGCGGGGAGTATAGAAGAGCCTAGAGTTATATAATAGGCGTTCCGAATACAGAGGACAAGCTTTTTGCGTTGTTTTGTTTTCATTCGTAATCTGGTCAGTCAAGCACATCCGTGGGAATGAATTGAGAAAACTCCATCCCGAGGATGATGACATCTTGCATGTAGGGTTTTCAGAGGAGCGAGGATTTCTGCATGATTATGTCGTGCACATCCCTGCACCCGGGCTTGAGTTCCGGTCCCTTATGCTAGGTACCTATGTCGTATTCACTTCTCATGAGCCCGACTACCTTTGAAATCCTGATACCACATTCACTCCGACAGCCAAACAGGCTTCATTCCACTCAACTGCACAATGTCTAACTCCAATACCTCAAGTGAAGATCCGTATATGCTGGGGCGCAACTACTACGCCTCCGCAAGGTACCTACACAGAAACAATGCCACTCTGAATCACTAATCGCTCTACAGACTTGCAATGCTCCACCTCCTCATCCATGCCCAATTCGGCTTCTTGCTCCATCCATCGATCAAGCTACCAAGCGCTATAAAGGACCAAGAACAATTGCGTATTGCGGATGTTGGCACCGGCACAGGGTATGTAGATTCTCTTGCGGCTATGTGCTCACAGTTTGTTCTCGCTCCACTTACTAAATGCCGCCCGCTAGGATTTGGATCGGGGAGCTCACCCGCGAGCTGCCACAAGCTCACATCGATGGATATGATATTTCGGACGAGCAATACCCGCCCCAGGAATGGTATGGGCCGAACGTGTCGCTATCTAAACTCGACATCTTTAAACCGCTGCCGAAGGAACTTGAGGGGAAATACGACGTGGTACATCTGAGATTTTTTATGACGATAGCTAGTGATGATAACGTGCAAGTTGTGGTGAATAACTTGAAGGGAATGCTTAGTGAGTCAAACATAGTCCCGAGCAAGGTGGTCTTCGTAGAATAGCTGTGATCCTAGAGCTAAGGGAAGGATCAAGCATTCAGCCAGGAGATTTGAAGCTGACTTTGATCAGAGCCGGGTGGTTGTTTGCAGTGGGTTGAAAGGGACTGGATGTCCAAGTTTCCAGAGAAGGCGGAGAAGAGCGATGATCCACATACGCAGGTCACATGCTACCATAGGTCGTTGTTCCCGGAAGTCAGGTCAGTCACTGCTCTTTCTTCTTCAAGCCCTGGGTTTGTGCCTGCGTCGAAGGTCTAGGCATTCAAATTATTCAAACTGACCCTCTACATCCTACCAGATGGATCAACTCTTTGCCGGCCCAGTTCGAACAATGCGGCCTAGAGGTCCTCGATTACGTGACGCAGGCTCCGCTCCCGGTTTACCGCAAACCATGGAACGAGGATTGCTTGATTGGGTGGGCAGCTATCGGCGACGTGATAAAGAACCAGGAGGATAAGAAATGGTACAGAGAGCGCTTGGCAGAAGCAGCGGAGAATGCGAGGAAAGGGTGGTATGTGGACTGGGAGTTGGTTGTCTGTGTTGGAAGGAAAGATGGGTGAAGCTAGATATAGAAGTGAGCACATGGAGATTCGATGTGTCTACCTTGTCTTAACATACAAAATAAAGATCGAATTCACTAGATATCTATCTACATTAATAAGAACCGACTTTCGTACGATATATCACGAAGCTATAAGACTATCTTAAATCTTCTAACTCTATATTTATAATATCGAATCTTTTATTTATTTTAAAATTAGAATTATTTAACTTTAAATTTAACGTAATAGTTAAGCTCTATAAATTCTATCTTTATATTAAAGATATTTCGCTATTTAATTAAGTTAATTATAGTCTTTATTAATATATTAATATAATAATATATATAATAAAATAAGATAGAGTAAATTTAAAAAGTCTTAAATTTATATATCTAGTTAATTATAAATTTTAGATTATTATATTCTTTAATTAAATAAACTAAGTTAACTCGCTAGCTCTCTTATATTTTCTTTTTAAAAATTTATATATAAAAGTCTTATATTTTAAAATATCTAGATTCTTATTAATATTATTACTTTATAATTTATTAGATTATAAAGCTTAGTTTATACTTTCTAACGAATTTAATCTATTATTAAAAAAGCGAATTAATATTTAAATATTATAATTATCTTAAACGCGTTTAGAATTAAATAATAGTTCTTTCATTTATTTATATAATTATTATTCTTTTATAAATCTATTAATTTAATAATATAAATATATTTATTTTTAATACTTCTCGCGAAAATATTATTAAAGATTACTCGCTATAGCTTAATTAAGAGCTAGTAAGAAAGAGATATAGTATATATTACGAGCGTATTCTATATTCTTAATATACTACTTAGCTCTCTTATCTATTCGAGTCTAGCGTATCTTAATAGAGATATTTATCTACTATTTAATATCTCTCTTCTATTTATATAATTCGATATCTTAGTTATCTTATTTAATATATCTATATTAATATTATATCTATATCGATTCTAATATTATAATTAAAATTAATTTACTTATTTTATTTATATTAATAAATAAATTTAAAGAAATATATTAATAGAAGCTTTAATAAGAAATTAAGTTAAGCTATTATATTTCTAGATAAAAGTCTATTAAATAAATAAATCGATTTTAAAGAGCTTAAATAAGATAGTAAAATAATTTCGATAAATAATAATCGAGAAATAAAGAAGATATTAAACTATTTATATAACTAGCGAATTAAAAGAAATAGCTAATATTATCTTATATTTCTATATTTAAAATATATACTAATAATATTACTTATAACTTTATATATTATAATATCTAAGATTTTAATAAAATCTTAATTAAATAAGAAATAGTCGAGTTATAATTAATTAAAAATACTATTCTTCGAAATTTCTCTATATATAACTTCTTTATAAAATAAAAGATTTCTTAAACGAAGTAAGTATATTTAAAAATTTATTATTTAAAGTATTTATAGTCTTCTTAATATTTTAAATAATTAAGAAATAAATATATTAAACTCTTATAATCTAATATCTCTAATATCTATTCTTTCAAAATATTTAAACTTCTCTTTACTTTATTTTAAATCTTTCTTTCTTCTTTCTTATAATAAAGTTTAATATTAAAAAAATAAATTAAATTAAAACTCTATTTAAGTAAATTAAGTTTTAATAAATATTAATTCTATTAAATAATATTCTTAATAAGATAAATTTAATAAATAAATTCTAAGATATCGCTAATAATTTATAATTATAATATTAAATTAAGTATTAATTCGATAAATTTATAATTATATTAAATAAAATTTATTAAAAGCGAAATAATTTTTAGAAGATTATTATTTGATATTATATTATTATAATAAAAAGAATCTAATTATAAATAATTTATTTTAGATTTATAAATTAACTTAGAAGATAAATTAATTAGCTTAAAACTTTTAGAAAATATAATTTCTTTATAGCGAAAAGTTAATAATCTTAATTTATAATCTATAAAAGATTTATAATTATTTTTAATTAAAAAGAAATATATATCTAGATATTTAAAAGAAAAATTAATTAAGATCTTAAATCTATCTTTATTTATTAACGATATTAACTCTATTTAAAATAACTAATTCTTTAAAATAAAATAGAAATTTAAAATTAATAGCGATTATTATCTTATTAAAAACTTTAAAATAATCTATATAATTTTATAATTTAATAATAAGATTATATAATATATAATATATAGAAAACTTTAAAACTTTATTAATTTATATTAATTTTTTATTAAAATTATAAATAAGTTAATTAATATTTATAAGAATTTAAATCGATATAATAATATATTATATAATATATATACTCTATAATAAAAAATCTAATTCTTTATTAACTTCTATTTAAATTTTATTTAATTAAATATTATTTTTAATATTAATAAAATTCTTATATTAAAGAATTATCTTTTTAAGAAATTAAGAAAGAAATTAAAAGAGTTATAATAGATTATAAAAGATTTTATTATCTTAAAGATTATAAAAGAATATTTTTAAAAGCTAAATAATTTATAATATATTAAATATAAGAATTTTAAATTTATAAAAACTACTATTAAGTTAATTATAATATAAATATTAACGATAATATCTATAATTAATATATATCTTATATTTATTATTAAATTTAATTTAAATATAATTATTATATCTTTAAATATTATAATTAATTTAAAGTTAAAAGAATTAATATATTATAATTATAATAAGAAAAATTACTATTAAAAGAATTATATAATAACTATCTAAATTAAAATTAATAAAAAAATCTTTAAAAAAATATAACTCTACGCGTTAAAAAAAAATAAAGAATTTAAAATTAATAATATCGATATTATAAATAGTAATAATTCTTCTTTAAATTTAAGAAATAAATAATCTCTTTTAAAGTTATAATAAGAGATACTTATAAAGTATATTTAATAGATATTTTTAATAACGTCTTAGCACGTTATTCTTTTTATATATAAATTATACTATCTTTATAAAAGAGAATTTATTTATTTAAGAATTTTCTTATAGATAATAAATATATCGATATTTATATAGTTATAAACGAGTTTTTAATTTTAATAATATATAAAGCTTTATATCTAAAACTACTTTTATTATTATAATCTAAATTATTAAGAGATTATAATAATTAGATTATAAAATAATTAATTATATATTATTTACTTTCTATAATAATAATAAAAGATTATTAAGAAGAAATATATCTAATATTAATTATATTATTAAAATATAATATAATAATTAAAAAATTATAAATAAATAAATATAAGATAATTCTTAATATATTACGAGATAAGATACTCTTTCTACTCGATTAATATAATTATAATAATAATTAAATATTAATAATAAATAAACTCTCTTTCCTATTAATTTTAAAGCTTTAACTATTTATATTATTTATTCTTTTATTTATTATATTAAAATAATAAAGCTCTCTCTTACTTATCTATAATAATAAAATTAATTTAAATATTTTTTTATTAAATAAAAATAAGAATAATAAGAAGTTTAAGTTTATTAATATCGTTAAGATTAATATAGTAATCTACTATTAATTAATCTATAAAAAAGATAATAAACTATTTATATTAATAATAAATAAGATTTATAATAACTTATTAATATTATATATATCTCTTATTATATAAATAACTCGCGAACCTTATATATTAATTAATAAATTCTATTTTTATAATTTAAAAAAGAAATATAAAAGATATTATAGTTTTAATTACTTTATTTAAATTAATAGTATTAATAAAATTAGTTCTAAAAAGATAAAACGTAAATTATCTTTAGAGTATTACGACTATTTAGATGTTTTCGATAGAATTAAAATAAATATACTTCTCTTATATTATTCTTATAACTATAAGCTAAAATTTAATAATAGCTTTAATAAAATAAAATTTTCGAAAAATAAGATTTATTTAATATTAAAATATAAATTAAAATAAATAAAGAAGTATTTAAACGAATATCTAAAGAAGGAATTTATAATATTAAATTATATATTATTCGTTTTACTTATTCTATTCGCAGAAAAGTCGAATAAAAAATTACGTTTTTATATAAATTATTAAAAGCTAAACGCTATTATTAAAAGAAATTAATATTTAATTTTATTAATAGATAAGATTTTAATAAGAATCTAGAAATATAAATATCTTACTCGATTAGATATTATAGCCGCGTTTAATAAACTATATATATATTTTAATAGCGAGAATTTTATTATTTTTATTATCTTTCTTAAAGTATATAAGTATTAAATTCTTCTCTTCGATTTAATTAATAACTTAATTATATATTAATATATATAAAAGAATAAGATAGAGCTAAGCTAGAAAATCTTAAATTTATATATATAGCTAATTATTAATTCGAGTTCGCTATACTCTTTAATTAGACTAGCTAAATTAGCTTAATAGCTCTTTTATATCTTCTTATTAAAAATTTATATATAGAAGTCTTATACTTTAAAGTACTTAGCTTACGATATATATAATTACTTTATAATTCCTTAAATTATAGAGCTCGCTTTATACTTTCTAACGCTATAAAAATTATAAAGTTTAACTTACTATTAATAAATTAAATTAGTATTTAAATATAGTAGTTATAATAGTTATATTAAACGCGTTCGAGATCGAATAATAATTCTTTTATCTATTTATATAATTATTCTTCTTTTACTATTCTATTAATTTATTAATATAAATATAATTATTCTTAATATCTCTCGCGGAAACGTTACTAAACGCTTTAGATATATATACTTCTTTTACTCGCCTCTTAGAGCCTCTATTAACGCTCTTAAATTATCTTTTAATAAATTCGCTATTATTAATAATCGAGACCGTAGTTTAATAGCTATTTATTACTACTTATAAACGCGTTAAAAGACTCTTAAAAAGAGTCTAAACGAATTTATAGCTATCGTTCTCTTTT